TCTAGCAGCAGGAAAGGAAAAGGTCAGCTTCTTGGAGGAGAAAGACAAAGACCAAACTGGAGGTTTTTAGTGGGTTTGAATGGGCAGGTTTCAGGGACCTGAACTGAACCTGAAGAACTGGGTTCGGTTTTTATGGCTGCTGCAACCTTCATTCACTTAATAACCAAGTTATTCCCCCCTCTCCACTGTCCCTTTTGGAAGGCTGGGAGAGGTTTGCTCCTTTTGTCTGTCAGGTCTATCAGACAGCAGCTCTGTCCAGGGCTTTATGCTTGCAGCTGGGTCCTCAAGGAGCTCAGGTAATTATCTGCAGTACTTCTCTAATGGAAAGAGGAGGGGAAAGGATGGGAAGAATCCACTGGCAAAGTGAGTTTTGGAGAGAGCAGTTTAAAACCCAGCTGGGAGCCTGAAACTTGTGAAAGACATTTACATTGCAGCCTTCCTAAATGAATCCCCACAGGTTATTTTAAAGCAGAGCAAGGAGCAGTGAGTTCTGCATGGCCATGCTGGGGCTGTGCACCCACACTCACCTGGTTAGCTGGGCACATCATGGTCCCAGGTTCCTGCTGCGAGGCTGACTGGTGGCATCTTTCAGCTTCAGTTTTTGTGTGCACCTGCCTATTCTTTCCCTTGGAAAATGGCAAATGGATGAGCCAGTGGGAGAGATGCTGCTTCTGTGGCACCTCTGTATCCATAGAGCTAAAATGATGCTTGGCCGTGAGCTCAAAGTGGTCATTTAAGAATGCAGCTCATTCAGTGTGAGTGCCCTACATCATCCACCCAAAGTGAATGGAGCATCTCCTGTGCCACTTGCTCCCTACCAGATACAGCAAAGGTTTTATGCCACTTCTTAATAAGGCTGCTTAACTGAAGGGCCTTTCATTGTGATGAATGGGGGGGCCTGGCACTTAGGTGACAGTGCAGTGTGAGGCCCAGCTGCAGCTTTGGCATCTGGGGTTTTTAGCCCTTGGATGACAGGGTTGTAAATGCGCACTGATGTGGAAGGTTGCTGATAGCCCTGTTCCCCTTCCCTTGCACACAGGAGCAATTGAGAACCTGTGTTTGGGTATCTACTTCTGCTTTGTAAAGAGATGGAGAGCAAGGGCCAGTGCTCCAAGAGGGTTGTGCTGTTTGCATGCTTGGTCCCAGTGGGACAAAGACTTCTCCTCCTTCTCTCTCAACAAACCTTGACCTAATGGGGTCTTGGGAAGTAGGTCTGCTGGCCCTCAGTCCCAGGCTTAAACTGTTTCCTCACCATGTGTAGGATACCATATTTGCTGGGACAGGATGTGCTGCTGTGCAGTTGAGGGAGTCCCGCTGTCTGCCAGCTCGGGAATGCTCCCGTTGTAAGCGTTTACATGGGAGCTGGACTTTGAAATATCCACAAGCCTCCCACCTTTCCCCTTAAAGGGCACGGAGCACACTGAGCTTTAGCTTCTCTTGTACAGGGAGTTAAACAACAACAAAGCCATGAGCATTTCTAGCAGCAGGGAATGTGTTTGTATTTCCATTCCCCTCGTGGGGACAAGGGCTAAGCTGCCTTTCCCTAGAGCACTGCCGCATTTTTCACTTATAGGCCAAGATGTGAAGTGGAAAGTTCCTGCCTGGAAAGAACATTTTGGGGGAAATTAGCAATTCAAAGCATAAACCTTGTGATTGAGAGACCTCTTGACCTAAATGTTGTATTTGCTGCTGTTACATGCGGTAGAGAGCTGGAAACCCAACATTGGATTTCTGTTGCAGGTCCCTCAGGTTACCTTTAGCAGCGCAGGTCAGCTGCAGTGTGAATCCCCTTGGTGTTTGGGAGGGTTTGTATCAGGAGGATTGTAACCAAAGGCAGTGAACCAGCAGAAATGCCCCATGCAGGATGAGCACTGGTGGGGAGCTGCCACCTTCCTGCTGGCTGGGATGGAGAAGAGATGCTGCAGGAGATGGGGCATAACCCATACACGTGAGCACTGCCCCTCCAGCCAGTCAGTGCTGCTGCTATGGTGGGTCTGTAGGAGAAAGCAGAGGGCACTGAGCAGAGCATTGACTTGTGTGGTAGAGCTGAAGCAGGATGGGCAATGGCCATTCCAGCTGCACTGGTCAGACTGGCTGGAGAGCAGAGCTGGGGTCTCCAGTACTGGATTAGTAGCAGGTACAGCTCAGGTAGGAAGGGGAAAAAGGCAACTGCTTTGTTTTGAATGCACCCTAATGCCTAACACCCCCTGAAGCATTCAGCTGTTGAAACGTAACAGTAAGGGTTTTGGTTTTCTTCCTTTTCAACCAGGGGATTATTGTGGTCTCCAGTTGTGTCCTAAAGTGGGAGCCATACCACAGCACTGTGAAATGTCTAATGCTTTGTTTCCTAAGGTGTAATGGGAGCAGAGACAAGAACTGGGTGCTGTTCATGTGGAACAATGCAAACCAGCACCTTGTACCGAGGGATTAGACCCTTCTGAGGAGATCACCTTCGGGCCTGGAGTGGGAACCTCCAGCAAAGCCCATGCTAGGGACACCATTGGGAAAGGTTTCACTTCTTGCTGCCTCCATTGTATGTGTGTAATGCCTCAGTGCGTGCTCTGTGGTCACTCTAAGACTGCTCCTCGTGATGTCCTCCTCCTTCTGCTCACGTGGGCCCTGAGGTTTTAACTGCTTGCACAGAAAGGTGCCAGGGGATCAACCACACTTTCAATCTGATGGCACTGCCTGCTCACACCCAGCTCTCAAGGAGGAGTTTGCAGCTCCTTTTCAAGTCCAGGCTTGTGTCAGGCTGCGGGGATGGCAGTTCTAGTTGCCAACACTCTCATCTTTTGGTGGTTGATGTTGTCCCTTGTTGGGTCCTTGCTTGGGTCTCCAGCACCACCCTAGAGCAGGGTGCAGAGGGGAAAGCTGCCTTGGGAGAAGCAAGGTGGATGACAGGCCCTGTTCTCAACAGCTGCATCACCAGGCAATAGCTGGGAAGCCCCACAAGAGGTCCATCCCCATGCTGCCGTGCCCAGACACGGTGCTGTACTGAAGCACTGCAATAGCAGTGCAAGAGCTGGAGCTATTCTGTGTGCCACGGCAGAGGAGCAGAGCAGATCAAGAGCCTGGCTCCTGTAATAGCAGGGAATCTGGCAAGGGATCATACGTAGCTGGTGGTTTGCTTGCAGTCGTGCCTCACCGCCCGGTTGCCTGTCTCTCTCTCCCATCAAATGTCCTCTTTACCACTGTGTGTGATGCTGGAGACCGGTGGCATTCCTCTGATGGAGGCTTCGAGTGACTCTTCATGCCCTGAGAATTGTACCTCTGCTGGGTTGAGCCTCATCTAGAGGTCATTTAGAGCATCAGGCTCAGCTCAGACCCCAAATAGCAGGAGCATTGGAGGAATAGGACATGGTGTTACCTGCTGTCAAAGGCAGAAATCATCCCCTGTGCCCTTGGAGCTGCCCCATGAGGCTGGGTGGATTTGAAGTCCCTGGAATCTATCTATAACTGTTCATATGCCTGCATGGGGAAAGAGCAGAGCAAGGGTGCTGCACTGCACAGCCTGCGATGTTCATCTTGCCAATGGGCAGGAGGGGTAGGAGACCAGACTTGGATTAACAACATGTTGTTGGAGAGCTCAACACAGGCTGTTGTGCTGGAGAGGGAGAGAATTACGGCTGTGCAGACTGCTCAGGGATTAAAACCACCCATAACAGGATAAGCTGTGCTCTTAATGTGTGTAATGGAGGGGGAGAGGCAGTGAAAGCTCAGGCAGGGGAGTGAGGGAAGTGACAGGGTGAGAGATGGGCAATGTGCACCATGGCCTGAGGCTTTCTCAGTGTGAGTGCAGGACACGCTGCCTGCTCCTGCCCTGCCAGGAACAAGCAGGAGGCTTCTCAGCTGGTCCAAGGGGGTATGAAGGAGCCAGCGACCTCCTTCCAGCAGTATTGCTCCGTGTGTACCTTGGAGGCAGCCCCATCTCCTCTTGGACAGGAGGTCTGGCTGTGGAGCCAGGTGACAGTCACCAGGTTAGGCAGTGTGTTGGGTAAGAGACAGCACAGCCCCTCAGCACCGCCCTGTGACCCATCACGGGCACAGTATTCAGAGCATCACTCAAATCAGATGTGTTGAGTCTGGCTGGGCGAAGCCCTGCATGGTGGTCATTGCTTTTAGGTCTCCATCCTGCCGTGAACATGCTGGTGCTTAGCTCCTTTCACAGCACTACCACTGGGCAGATGTAGAGTTGAGGGACTGTGATTTGCCAGATTTAGGTAAATATCTTGCACCATTTTCTCTGGGCTTTGTTGTCTTATGGTTTTCTGTACAGCTGGGGTGATGCTGGCAGCGGGATAAATCACTGTTTACTTTATTCAGAGTCCAAACACCACAAAAAGCAGCATTGTGACCAAAGGTCGTGTTTCCCATCCATAGAATAGACAAGGGGCCACAGCTAAGGGGCTTTTTGGGTGAGACAATTCTACCAATGGAGCTAAATGAGAGTTTTATAATGAGCTCAAACTCCTAACAAGGCCGATGATGACAGTGTGAGATGCACGCATGGGACTGTGCAGCTCCAGGCAGTTTCCCTTCTGAACATAAAAGGAAAAAATGACGTGTTTGAAAATATTGTTTGTTATGTAAATGTATCTGTTTTGTCTCCACATAAGTGGCTGTCCTGGATTAAAAAAGCCCCACAGTACTATAGCAGCTACTAGGAAGCAAATTAGCTCTCCCAGATGAAACCAGGACAGTGGTGATGGCAGCGAGATCCTCCCTCCCCTCTTCCATTAAACCCTGGGTATCTCCTGTAGTTCAAGCAACCCAACGCTTTTAAAGCTGCAATGTGGGACTGGCTGACACCAAATCCAACCACAGCCAATTGTGGAACTGGATGCACACACAAGAGCTGGACATTTAAAAAGACTGCAGTGTTAGTACAAACGTATTAAGGAAAAGCATCCTTTAGGCTTTGTGAAGGCAGCACAAAGGGGAGGGGGTGAGCTCCATGAGGAGGTGCAAGCTGACCCTGGGACTCTGACGCTGCTTTTCAGGTGCTCGTGCCCAGAGCTGTCTCCGTTCCCATGAACATCGGTTCTGATGCAGCCCCTGGTGATGCAGGAATGGCCCTATGCCCTCCCACAATGTCCTGAGTGGCACGACACAGAGCAGGTACAGCACAGCAGCACTGCCCGTGTGCTGTCTCAGGTAAGAGCTGGGTCTGGGAGCCTGCCTTGCAGTGGTTGCAAGTGTATGTGGAACAAACTGGGACCTCTGTTCCTGGTGTAAGGGAAAGCTGCTGACTCCAGGCCCCCATCTGCTCGCACTTAATGAGAGCATTGGCTCTCCTCAAGCATTTTGGCTGCCAAGCGTTTCCCAAAGTGGAGGAAAAGAGGCAACCTGCAGAGCTGCATTTCAAGCCTCCTTCAGAATGAAGAGGAAGAGGCCACTGTTCACAGCTCTTTGTTGGGTTTATTCTTTTCCTGGAAGTCTGGGAGAGCATCAGCTTCTGCTGAAAATGTAGGTTTCTCACTTCCCTGGTTGCAGAGAACAGCTTGGAAATAAGCCCCTGGCAAACGCTGTGTGCAGAGGAGGAATCTGACCTCCTTCTGGTCTAATGTCTTCAGGAATGGCGAGTGGGTGCTCACACTGCTGGTCCCCGAGCCAGCCCAGGCTCCTCACCAAAGGCAGGCAGGGTGGTGAAGGTCCCTGGGTGAACGGCAGTGCAGAGGGCAGGGGAAAGGGAAGGGGAAGATGCTCTGTGAGTGTCTGCAGAGCTGCCCGTGCTCCCCACTGAGCAGCCACACGCTGGCTGAGCACCTTGCTCTGGGTCACCCAGGACAGCAAGGCTGGGGGGAGGCTGGAGCATGGCTTCCCCTTTGCTGCCTGTAGCTGCTGCCCCAGGGTACCTCTTGACAAGAGGCTGATGGATGGAGCCTAAGTTCCCCTTGGGCACTGGCAGTGTTGTTCCTAGGGGGAATGAGAGGCCTGGCTCTGCCTCTTTTCCTTCATTGTGCTTCAACCATGAAGAGCAAAGGCTGAGGCTGGGGCTCCTCCCTGGCTTCCATCAGCATGGAGTCATTCTGCCCCAGAGAGCAGCAGGGGTCCGCAGGAGGGAGGCAGAGCTGTCTCTGGAATGGCTCCAGCACCTAAGGACGAGGCTTGCAGCTGGGGTAGGCTCTTGGTAGCTGAGCCAGGGCTTATTTGCCCTGTGTTGGGGAGCTGCTATCAGCCAGTGCATGGGTGGTTAATGAACACCCCAGCAGATGAAGCGAGAAAGGAATGGGATAGAACAAGGTGAGCGAATGCCCTCCTGAGCTGCCTGAGCAGTCCAAGCCTCTAACAATGGGGTCAGAACCCTATGGGGTCTGCTGGGAGAGGGGAGCTGGTACAGAACACCCTGTGGGACCCCCCAGCAAGACAGCAGCACACAGGGAGGGTGCACACAGCCTCAGCTCAGGTCACATCCAGCACAGGTTTCCCTCAGTCCCGTACCTGAGCCTGGCTTTGTGCTGGGTGGGCATCAGTGTGTTGGGTGTTGTGCATCATGTGCCTGCTGGCTCCCGCAGTGTTAATGACAGCCTGACTCATGCAAAGGGTCTGCAGTGCCCTCCTGCTCACAGGTGAAGGTATTGCCAGGAAACAGCCCTCTCTTGGCCTTGCTTGTCCCGAAAGCTTCCTGCAGGCTGCAGAGGTAGAGTCACAGAATGCTTAGGGTTGGAAAGGACCTTAAGATCATACAGTTCCAACCCCCCTGCCATGGGCAGGGACACCCCACACTAAACCATGTCACCCAAGGCTCTGTCCGACCTGGCCTTGAACACTGCCAGGGATGGAGCATTCACAACCTCCCTGGGCAACCCATTCCAGTGCCTCACTACCCTAACAGGAAAGAACTTCTTCCTTATATCCAATATAAACTTCCCCTGTTTCAGTTTTAACCCGTTACCCCTTGTCCTGCCACTACAGTCCCTAATGAAGAGTCCCCCCCCAGCATCCCTATAGCCCCCCTTCAGATACTGGAAGGCTGCTATGAGGTCTCCCCGCAGCCTTCTCTTCTCCAGGCTGAACAGCCCCAACTTTCTCAGCCTGTCTCCATACAGGAGGTGCTCCAGCCCCTGATCATCCTCGTGGCCTCCTCTGGGCTTGTTCCAACAGTTCCATGTCCTTTTTATGTTGAGGACACCAGAACTGCACACAATGCTCCAGGTGAGGTCTCACGAGAGCAGAGTAGAGGGGCAGGATCACCTCCTTCGACCTGCTGGTCAGGCTGCTTTTGGTGCAGCCCAGGATAAGGTTGGATCCTGTTCTTAGCTGTGTCCTGGCCTTGCTGGAGACTCTTTCCCCAGTCTGGGAGCTGGTTCTCCATCAGACCAGCCTGGGAGGTGGTGGGAGAGGAGGTTGGTGCTGGTCCCAGAGGGAGGAAGGGACAGCAGCTGCCAGATGTGCAGGCAGGGAAGGAGGGGAAGAGAAGGAGAGATAGAGGGAGCTTTTGATTCCCTCCCTGTAGGTGGAGGAGAGCATGGGAACAATTCTGGGCGTCAGGACCGAGGGGGGCACAAGGAGCCAGCCCAGAGCCTTCTGGCAAAAACAAACCACTTACACCCAGTCCAGGCGGGCAGAAACATCTGTGCTGGCACCCAGCGCTGGGCTGGGGCATGTGGGGGCAAGGAGGGCATCTTCAGCTTTTTGGGTCTCAGGAATGTGACTGTTTCTCTTCCAGGCATCCAGAGCTTGCTGGGGACCGTTCCCTGGGTCAATCTCTTCCCTGTTGAACACCCCATCTGCCCTGTGTGTGCTCCAGCACCTGAGGGCACGGGCTCTGCTTGTCACCCCATCACCTTTGCCATGCCCTCGCAGGGATGGATTTCCCCTAGTTCCCAGAGCACCCCACCTGCACAGGGCCAGCTTCCTGCATGGAGCTTTCCCACGCTGGGATGCCCTGCGGACCTCTGCCCCTTCGTGCACCGCAGGCAGGCAGCCCCGGTGGCAGCAGCGGGGTTAAGGCAGGTTGGAGGCTGCCGGAATGCCACCAGACAAAGCTGGGATTGAGGCCGGCTGCGAGGCGCTGCCGCCCCCCTCCACATTCCTGGGGGGTCAGTGCTCGGGCTGCGCTGCTGAGCACACGGTGCCCGTCTCCTTCCCTGCCGGGTGCTGCCTGGCAGCACCCGGAGGGGTGGGAGGCGATGCCCGCTCTCCCAAGGGAGCTGAGCGGCCCTGCGGCGGATCGGAGGCTAAGCACAGGTAGATGCGCCTGGAATCGTGTCCAAGGGTGCAGCGGGAATGCGGCTCTGGGGAAGGGATGCTCGGAGGGAAAGCACTGCCTTTCCCCTCTGCCCGCTTGAAGAGGCTTTGTCCTAGGGGGAGCAGATGCTTGGCCGCTGTCACCGGCTCATCTACTGGGCATGGTCTGTGAGCTGGAGTCTTGGTGGGCTTTTAACTTCTTAAATGAGGCTGGGAGGGCTGTGTTGTTTGCTGAGCTGTGCACTTGCACTCAGGTAGAGCTGATTCCTCCTTTGGTTTCCCCTGGGAGAGAGGGGAGGGCTGGGTGCTCACTGGCAGAGCTGTGAGGATAACCTGCTTCAGGGTCAGGAGGATGTGCTCATGCAGAGTATTGATTTTTCTATGTGCAAGCAGCAGTGTTAGCTGGAGCAGTTTATTGTTCACAGCCCCAAGGTTCCTGTGAACTCTGTGGGTCACCGTTCTCTCTGTTTCCTTGATGCTCCCAGAGCAGCAGGATGGCGAGGCAGAGAACAGGCTGGTGTTAGGTGGTTTGAGATGAAACAAACTTAGAACCAGTTTTGGGGAGAGAACTATTGTGGAGGGGGTATTGGTTTAGCTGTGAGGACAAGCTCCTTGTCTGGTGGGTTCCTCCTGCCTATTATTCTCCTTGGCTTAGCTGAGTTTGCCCCCTTGTCACCTCTGGGAGCCCTTGGACAGGACAAGTACCTGCACGTTTCCCTTGGAAGAGCTGCTGCTCTTCCCTGGCAAAGGGGTGCCTGTTGTATGCGCTGTTTAGAAAGTGCTAATGCAGTTAATTATGGCTGATGAATCACCTGGGGATAATTATCACAAGTGAGCTCTACTATCAAAGTAGCGTTAGATCGAAATGCTGCCGTTTCCCTAACAGAGCACATCACCGTCTCACTTGTGGAGATGCTTCCCTGTGCTTTGCACTACTGGTGCTCTTGGAGAGGAAATCCCCCCTCACTCGCTGAGTCCCTGTGAGATGCTGCTTGTCCTGCTGGTGTGTGGTGCTGTTGCCAGCAAGTACAGTGATGTCTTCATTGGCATCATGAGCAGAAGCATGGTAGAGTGCTACCAGCTTAGGGAAAGGTTTCTGCTCCATTCCCTGAGGATTTGTTGTCTAGGGATCAACACCCGGTTTTCCAGGCTGACTGATGAGCTCCCATGGTGTGGCTGGTTTAGGGTTTGATGCCATCTGCTCAGAGCATCCTTCTCACCACCGCCCGTTCTGGAGAGCTGCAAGGGAGAAGCAGCATCTGTGGAGGATCAGCAGCATCTGAGATCTCCTTTGCAGGCAGGGAATATCCTTGTGCTTCTGTAGAGGAGCAGGTGGCAGCTCCCAGTACTGGAGATGGCACCGAGAGGTTGGCAGGTTCCCTTGGTCCTAGGAACAACAGGACCCATGGTTCTTTCCTTTTCTCAAAGGCACAGCAGTCTGTCTGCCATGGAAAGACATCACTGTTAGCCCTGCAGGGACTGTGGCACTCAAGGGGCAGCTCTGATTTAATCCCTAGCAGTGAGATAAGTTCATTGCTGGATAAGTGATGAGCAAAGATCCTGCAGAACAGAGATGTACACTGAGCCCTTCCTTCAGCCTTTGCCCTTGGTGCTGCTGGAGCTGGCACTGCATCCGTCCCCCGCAGACCCCTCTGGGAGCAGGTTGGGAAGCCAGGCAGGGTCAGGAATGAGCGGGGTAGGTGTGTCCCCAGGCAAGTGCCATAAGCATAGGCCAGCGCTCTCTGGATGCAGCCTGGCTCTGTTTCTGCCCAGGTTGAAGCCTCAGAGGATGGTGCAGGACCCTCGTGTGTAACCCCCTGGGCTGTGAGCGGTGCTGCAGGGCCCCGGGCCCCTCTGGAGATGAATCTCTGCTGGAACGAGATCAAGAAGAAATCCCACAGCCTGCGGTAAGAGTTCTGCCCGGAGCCGAGCCCGGGGCACTGCTTGCTGCAGGTGCCTGGCAGGAGGGCTTAAACCTGTTTGCTTGATGAGCCACATGAGTTCACGGTGACCTTGGCTTGGTTTCGCCTCTTGTCCACAGACCCCTGGGTCTTTGTCGTTGTGCTGAAAAGCATCCCCTCCATTTCCGCCCATCCCATCCTCTTCTCCTTCCCCTCCTTCACTCTTGCTCTTGCTTTCCTCTGCTTTCTCCATCTGCCATTGCTGTCTTGTCTCTTTCTGCCCCATTGCCTTGCTGCCACCTCCACTGCACTCGTTCCTCTGCTGAGAGCCACCTCCACTGCACAGGGGGAACGTGACTTCCAGACCATCAGAGGTTGCAGCTCCAGAGCCAGCCTTTAACTGGGGGATGTTAACTGTCTCCTGCCTCAATACAAAGCTCCTGGAAGCTGCCCAGTCATGTAAATGCTGAGCCAAGCCCCCTGTGCTAGAGCACAGCCCCGACCCACAGGCAAATGCAGTCACTCTGTCCCTTGCTCTGGAATCCAGGCCTTAGAGTTTCCTCTCCCCAGTGCCTCCATGCTTCACCCTACCTGGTGGTGCAGTGTCTGTGCTCACTGAGGGCCATGCACAGCCCCTGGTGGGGTCATGTGTGTCCTGAGATCACCCCAGCTGCGGTGCTGTGCTTCCCCAGGGAGCCTGCTCCTTTCCTGTCCATCTGACCGCTGTCCTGCTCTCCTTGCTCTGCTTCCAGGGCTCGGCTGGAGGCCTTTTCCGACCACAGTGGGAAGCTGCAGGTGCCTCTCCAGGAGATCATAGACTGGCTGGGGCAGAAGGATGAGGAGCTCTCGGCACAGCTGCCCCTGCGGGGGGACGTCGTCCTGGTGCAGCAGGAGAAGGAGACCCACGCGGTACGTGCCTCGCGCCTCCCCTGACACCGGTCACTGCCGTGATGAGCTGCAGGTCCCATGGCACTGGGACCCCTGCCTCATGTCACTGCCAGTGCCCACAGACAGGAGTCCCTCGGGCTGAGGAGGGGACATCCTAAACCAGCCTGTCTCTGAAGCCATCTGCCTCTGGTTGATGCGCTGCTTTGGCACATCCCGCTGGTCCGCCCTTGCTCCTTGATGAATGTTTGTGTGACCATGCTCTTGCTGCATAAGGAGAGTCTCCAAGCAGTGCCTATCAATAAAGCATTTCATTTTGCCCAGCCCTGGCTCAACAAACCCTCCTGAGCCCACTGTTCTGCTGCCCCACTGCAACAAAGCTGCAGTGCAGACCTCTGCAGGAGCCACCTCCTTGCAGGTGGTCATTCCTTCCCCAGACTGCAGGCATACTCCTCTGTTAACTCCTCTCCATGTCTCCAGTGAGGTTTGGGCTCTGGAGGGAATAAATCACTGCAGCACTTGGCTGGCCATTCTCCCTAACTGAGCCTGCTCTCTCTGTGCTCTGCTCCCCAGGCTTTCATGGAAGAAGTGAAGTCTCGGGGACCATACATTTACTCTGTCCTGGAGTCAGCACAAGCTTTCCTTTCCCAGCATCCGTTTGAGGAATTAGAAGAACCAACTTCAGAAAGCAAAGGTCTATGGAGGGCCCCTTTTCTTGCTCTCCCATAGCACAGCTCCTCCTGGGTTGGACTGAAGAGGATGGAGTGGAAGTGGCAAGTGGTTGGTGTGGCACAAAGTGGCACATCAGTGCTCTGCCTCATGGCACCATGCACCAGGCTGTTCCCAACCCTCTGGCCAAAGGACAGGCTGGCACAGAGCAGTGCTTCTGTCCTAGGCAAAGGCAGAGGCTGTTGATGGAGCCCATGACGGGTACATCTCATTGGGCAGATGTGCTCTGGGGTAGGTTTTTGAGGAGCTGGTGCAGAGATGGATCCTATTATCACTTGGTTTCCCTCCCTCTTTCCAGTTTTCCTTAGGTTTATTTAATCTCCCTTTCCCCTGCCCTCCCTCCATCTCTTGCTCACTCTCCTTTGGGCTGAGCTCTCACTTTTCCCTCTGTTCCCCTCCTGCTTTACCTTCACAGATGTGTCTCCCCGGCACCGCATCCAGAACATCAGCCGCTTCGTCTGGAAGCAGGCGAACGTGGCCAGCGAGCTATGGGAGAAGCTCACAGCGCGCTGCGTGGACCAGCACCGACACATCGAACGCACACTGGAGCAGCTCCTGGAGATTAAAGGGGCCATGGAGGAGCTCAGCACTACCCTGGACCAGGCTGAAAGCGTGCATGAAACCTGGGAACCCATTGGGGACCTCTTCATTGACTCCTTGCCAGAGCACATCCAGTCGACCAAGGTACTTCTGGCTCTGAGAAGGCTCCAGCCTTCACCACAGAGGTGATGAGATGCTGCGTCCCAGGAGGGCAGCATTGCCTTTCCTCACTGCTCAGCCCAATGCAGCCTCATTATTTGGGGTCTCAGGGGGCAGGTCCTCCCTAGCTTTGTGAGGGTGGATTTGTCCCACAGTGCCCAAGCAAGCGGCTGTGCTGAGCACCTCATCAGGGCACAGGCCTTACACAGTACAGTGGCTCAGCATGGGTGAGCTATTGCTCATATTCCACTTCACAGTCAATGTGAGTTATCCCCAGTGTGGCTGGGTTTGGTTTGGTTTGGTTTTCCTGTGCTAAGGTGCTCTGTGGAGGGTCCGTCAGCAGTGTCCCGACAGCCACTCGCCCACCCTAGCTTGTACACAGGAGTCAGATCCAAGTCCTGATTGCTCTCCTGCTTCTTTTCCTTCTTGCCCTGCTCTGTGCCTGTTGCCCTGGGCACGGGGCTCCAGCTGTTCAAAGAGGAGCTGTCCCCCATGAAGGATGGGGTGAAAGTGGTCAATGATCTCGCACACCAGCTTGCCATCTCAGATGTCCACTTATCCATGGAGAATTCCCGTACCCTGGAGCAGATCAACACGCGCTGGAAGCAGCTGCAGGTGGGAAGGAGTCAGGATCAAGCACTGCAAATAAACCACAGGTGGGAGGATGCTGGAGAAGGGCTGCTGCTGCTGAGCTTCAGGGATGATAAGTAAGGCTTGGCATAGCAGGGACGGCATAGCTGGTGTTCCCGGAGGAGGAGCATCAGTTCGGTGTGAGGAAAAGTGCTGGTAAATCTATAGAGGTCTTGAGCAGGGAAAGGAAATGGGAGGAACAGGGATGCTCTCTGAGGAGAATCAGGATCTGATGGGGATGAGTCAGCACCAACTGTGGCTGCTTTGATAGCTGTCAAGATATGGATACAGGTGAGCTGGAGATGTGGCTTGTGCTGCCTCAGCCTGTGGGAGGAGGTGTAGAGGGCTGAGCAGACCGGGGAATGCAGACACCAAGGCAGGCAAGGAAGGAAGAGGGCCTGCATGCTGGGGCATGTCTGAGTCCATCCACAAGCACGATGGGCTGCCACTGAGTTCTTCTGTCCCATTCTCCAGGCCTCCATAAACGAACGCCTGAAGCAGCTCCAAGATGCCCACCGGGACTTCGGACCAGGCTCCCAGCACTTCCTCTCCTGTACGTGAGTGGGTCCTGCTGGCTTCCCACCCTGAGGCTGCCTCTGCGGGGTGGCTCAGCATGGGCTGTGGCACAGGAGAACGGGGTGCAGAGCCCTGCTGCTGAGCCCAGAGCCACACGCACAGCTAGAGAAGGGCTCAGTGCCCGTTGCACAGGAAGCATCTCCCTAAGTTAGTGTTGTGCAGCCTCACCTTGTGGTACCAAGGGTGGGACATGAGTGTGGTTCCCCTTCAGAATGCAGCTCCCAGATGATGCTGTGACTGTGCCAGCCTCAGAGATCGGGTAGGCAGACAGCAGGTATCAATCATTTGGAGGCCAAGAATGTGCATGTTAAGGAGGTTTTCATTCACATGGCGAGGCAGAGGGATGCTGCTCCCACAGGTCTGAGCTGCTGATGGCTCTCAGATCTGCAAAGGATGGGTAGGAGGTTGTGGAGTCCAGCCTTGGAAATACTGAGCTCTGCAGGGTCTTCAGGTATCAGTGGGGTTTGTTGGCCTGTGTTTGTATGCAGACCATGCCTTCCTATCTGAAAGTAAGAACAACTTTCCCAGTTGCTGGAATTGATAAGCTGCCTGTGACAAGGGAAAATAGCTGAGGGTGATAAAAGGGCTTTCATCCTCTAGATAACAAACATAGGGTGGCAGGCAACTGGTATGGGATGAGTCCTCATCTTCCTGAGATACTGCAGCTGACACACACAGCATGAGTAATGGGAACAGCAGATGCTGTGGGTGCCCAAGCCTGGCTATAACAGGCAGTGCTGTGTGTGTGTGCCCAGATCCCACTGGTGACCACAGCATTGCCTTGGGGACCATCAAAAGCATCACAGAGTGTCTCTTGCTGAGTTCTGAGCTCAGCCAGACTCAGAGCCCGTCTCAAGAGAGGCAAGATGCCTCCAACAAGGCCAGCAGTCTTGTGTCTCTTAGAGGGAGCATCTTCTCCAGCACCCCCAGTTGGTGATTTGGGAAGGCAGAGCCTCTTCAGAGGCACCTGCTTGCTGACAAGGTCCTGCTGGGCTTTTATCTGAAACAGCATCAGCCTGAAGGAGCATTTGGTGTTGGTCTGAGATCTGTGTCTCTCTCCTTGCAGCCTCTGTGCAGGTGCCCTGGGAGCGAGCCATTTCCCCCAACAAAGTGCCATACTACATCAAGTGAGTGTGCTCTGGTCCAGGGGGAGCAGGAACTGGGGCCCAATGGGGAGAGGGGGGCAGTAAGCAGGCTGCTCTGATGAAGCAGACCTCTGGTGAAGCGTGCTGCCCCCAGCCTGGCAGATCCAGGCTTTCCCTGCCTGCAGAGGTGCCCCAGAGGAGGGGGCACAAAGGCTGGAAGGAGTGGGGGGGTGGTAGCAAGTGTGGGGGCATCCTCCTGTGGGTGTCCTGCATGCTGCTGTGGGTGGGGAGTGCTCACGGGGTGCAGCAGCCCCAGCATCTGCAGGCACTGGGGGGCTCGCTCCTGGGGCTGGCTGGGTCCCTTTAGCAATCTACTTAATTAAGCAGCTGCTTGATTCCCAGTTTGACTTCTGGCTTCCTTCTATTTCCCTTCCAGCCACCAGGCCCAGACAACGTGCTGGGACCACCCAAAGATGACGGAGCTGTACCAGACGCTGGGTAAGGAGCCTGCTACAAAGCCCTTCCCTGTTGGGTGCTATGAGAGATCCCCCCATCCCTCTGTGGCACAGGGACCCCCAAAGCAATGGGGAGCACACCCCCTGCCAGGCTCTGCCTCTCCTCCTGCCCACTTTCTGCTTCTGCTGGTGGGGCTGGTGCTGGGACCTGCTCATTGCCCTGGAGATGAGGATGTGGAGCTGCAGTTGCATTCTTTCCCTGTGTTATTGCAGCGGATTTGAACAACATCAAGTTCTCAGCGTATCGGACGGCTATGAAACTGCGACGGGTACAAAAAGCCTTGAGATGTGAGTGCTGGAAGCAGTTTCCTCCTGCTGGGTTTCACTCGATAAAGGCATTAAACTAACACAAGCTTTTAACAGCACATCAAAGGTGGAAGCCCACCAGGGGACAGGTAGCTGAGGCAAGGAACGCCAGGAGGATGAGCCCATGACTGGGAAGCTGAGCAAATCCACTGTGCCAGGGCCTTTCTTTGCAGGCTTAGGGTGGAAATGCCCCAAGGGCAGGTGTTAGTCAAAGGTATTTGAGAACTAAGTGGTCCAGCTCCCAGTTACAAAGCTGTGGGATCAGGCAGGGGCTCACCCAGGAGCTCTAAGAGAAGCCATGGATGTAACTGAGAGCAGAAACCAACCTTGCTGGCAGGGGCAGCGAGAGCTCCATATAGTTAAAGAGGAGGAAGGGAACCAGTAAACCTCACTTATGTAGGTAAAACTCCAGTTAAAAGGTGTCCCAGCCTGTGGCAGGGGGCTGGAGCTGGATGAGGTCCTTTCCAAGCCCTTCTATGACTCTATGTGGATATTTTGGGAGGGGTTTATGGGTAACAGCAATTCTGGGAGTTGTGCCCATCCTGCCAGCATCTTCCCCACCATGGTGGGTCTTACACTGCTCGGGACAGGGCTGCCTCTCCCTTTTCTTGCTTCTCACCCCTCCTGTTTCCCTCTCTGCCTCTGATCCTGCTGCCCACGCTTTCTGCACAGTGGATATGGTGACCCTGGCCACAGCCTTGGAAATCTTCAATGAGCACGACCTGCAGCCCAGCGACCGAGCGATGGACGTGGTGGAGGTCATCCACTGCCTGACCGCCCTCTATGAGAGGCTGGAGGAGGAGCGGGGCATCCTGGTCAACGTGCCCCTCTGTGTGGACATGAGCCTCAACTGGCTGCTGAATGTCTTCGACAGGTACCAGTCTGCACCCCCCTGTGCCGTGGGGCTGCGTGCTCTGAAGGAACCCCCCGTGCTGTTCTTGCAGCTGGCAGTGCTGCAGGACGGCCCTGGCCACCGCTGAGGTGCATGCTTTGCCTTGCTGACCCCCTGCATCCAAACCCCTCCAGAACAGCAGCAAACCTGTGCAATGTCTCGCCTTGCAGTGGCCGCAGCGGGAAGATGAGGGCTCTCTCCTTCAAGACGGGCATTGCATGTCTGTGCGGGACAGAGGTCAAGGAGAAGTTCCAGTGTGAGTCCCTGCCTGCCTCCCCCAGGGTCCGATGTGCAGTAACCTGGGGAAAGCAGGAGTGCGTTTGGTTCCTGGCTTAGCCCTTCTTTGCCCAGAAAGAGCAGAGGAACAGCTATCCTGCAGTGACTAATATGCTTGCATCACCCCCTTTGTCTCCCTTCCTCCCATGCCACCTAAATCAGAAGGCATTTTTGCAGACTAACTGGTGCTATGGTGATCTCGCTTGCATAGCACTATAAGGAACAGCGCAGAGAAGGCGAACAGGCAACATTTATCCAGTGCTTCCCAGAAGGAATGCACCTGGGGCTGCACAGCTGGAGTTTCAACCAAGGAAGCCCCTTTGCTCACTGCATTTTCGCCATGGTACTTTCTGCCATGGGATACTCCAGAGGGGTTAGCACAGGAAGCATCAAGGGGTTAAATAAAGGGATCGGGCATCTTCACAGAGGACAGGCCAGCTGTGGCTCTTATAGAAGTGATGTATGTAATCTCAAGAAGACTCTAGGCTCCTGGTTGTTGGGAGCTGGAAGAGTACTGGTAAAGGTTATTTAACCATAGATCAGTTTCTGTCTCTTATGTGAGCTCCCTGGTCTAATCCACGCATCCGCCCTCTGTGCCTGCATCCTGCCCATTGTGTCGGGCATCACCCATGTGTCTGACGGGGCTCTGTGTGTGTGTGTGTCCTGCGGCAGATCTCTTCAGCCAAGTGGCCAATGCGGGGGGGCTGTGTGACCAGCGGCACCTCGGTGTCCTGCTCCACGAGGCCATCCAGGTCCCTCGCCAGCTGGGGGAAGTGGCAGCGTTCGGAGGCAGCAACGTGGAGCCCAGCATCCGCAGCTGCTTCCGCTTCGTGAGTAGGGCGATGTGGCCGGGGTGTCCCCTCTGCAGCCGCTGTGCTGGGGACAGGCTCCAGAGGTGGTGAGGAGCTTGCACCCCATCACAGCAGCCCCATCCTCTCCCCTCCCAGAGCAACGGGAAGCCCGCCATCGAGGTATCCCAGTTCCTGGAGTGGGCCAACCTGGAGCCGCAGTCCATGGTGTGGCTGGCGGTGCTGCATCGGGTCACCATGGCTGAGCAGGTGAAGCACCAGACCAAGTGCTCAGTGTGCCGGCAGTGCCCCATCAAAGGCTTCAGGTAGGGGTTGTGGTACCTCAGCCCCCAAGGGAAGTGTGTGGTGTCCTGCAGGATGGAGCTGAATTTGCTCTCTGCTGTTGAGGGGACCTATTGCTCTGCAGCAGCAGGGCTTCAGGCAGGGTGCCAGCAGAGGGGAGGGAGCAGGATGCTTTTCTGGGTACTTCAGCCATCAGTACTGTGGCTTTAGCGGGGTGCAAGAGCAAAACAAACCATCTCTGTCCCCTGATGAGGGGGTTTTGCTGCCTCCCTAAGGCCTCTTGATCTCCCCAGGTATCGGAGCCTGAAGCAGTTCAATGTGGATATCTGCCAGACTTGCTTCCTCACTGGACGAGCCAGCAAGGGCAACAAGCTGCACTACCCCATCATGGAGTACTACACCCCGGTATGGAGCTGGGCTGGGCTGGGCTGGTCTTGGCTCAGAGCAGGTCCCCATTGACAGCAGCATCCTTGTGATGTTGAGGCTGGTGCAGCCCCAGAAGTGGATCCCTTTGTATGTTTCTGCTCCCCTCTGCATGCTGAAGGCTGCACTGGGGCTCCTGGTGAGCACGATGGGCACCCAGCTATGTCCAGCCTGGCTCGTGCCAGGCCCAGTGACAGGCTGAGAGAACTGCCACATGCCCTCCTTGCTTCCTCGGTTGTGTCTGCCTCTTTCTCCATGGAGCTCGTGTGCAGCCTGAAGGGCCTTCTCCCCTGCTGTGGTCCCCATGTTTCGTTAAGCAGCACCTTGGCATTGTCTGTGTCTCTGCAGACCACATCCAGTGAGAACATGAGGGACTTCGCCACAACGCTGAAGAACAAGTTTCGGTCCAAGCAGTACTTCAGCAAGCACCCGCAGAGGGGTTACCTGCCCGTCCAGTCCGTCCTTGAGGCTGACTTCTCCGAGACGTGAGTTGCCTGCTCCCCGGGCTGTGTCTCTTGATCCTGTCTGATAGGGTGATATGTCTGATACCCTGTCTGATAGGTGGGCTCTATAGATGGAAGCAGCATCTCAGCTGCAAGACCAGGCTTCCATGGGAGGGTTGGAGCGGGCACTTGCTCTGGGGGTGATACAGCTCCTAGTTCTTGTCGGAGCAGAGATTTCAGTCTCCCTCTTCAGCCTGTCCCTGGCTCTTCCCAGTCCGGGGCAGCTCCTCCAAGGCTGAGCTCTGAGCCAAGCCTTGCTGAGCAGTGTGCATCTCTTCCAGGCCAGCCTCCTCGCCCATGCTGCCGCACGCCGATACCCACTCCCGGATCGAGCACTTTGCCAGCAGGTATCACCATGGGCACTGCTGCCATGCCAGGGCATGGACTGTGGCCCTGATGGGTGCGGAGGGGCTCCAGGGCACATGTACAGTGAGCTCCTGCTGCCTGCATCCCCCTCCGTGCTTGCCAGCACATGGGGTTGGCTGTAGTGTGATGGGAAGAGGCAGCTCCAGGGCCAGGCAGACCTGTCTGCACTTCTTTGCTCCTGCCTGGGATGTGGCTGATGCCACGCAAATTGGCAGCGAGCACCATGCATTTGACAGCAGATATCACAGTATCACAGTATCCTAGAGATTGGAAGGGACCTCAAAAGATCATCTAGTCCAATCCCCCTGCTGGAGCAGGAACACCTAGATAAGGTTACACAGGAACGTGTCCAGGCGGGTTTTGAATGTCTCCAGAGAAGGAGACTCCACAACCTCCCTGGGCAGCCTGTTCCAGTGTTCCGTCACCTCACTGAGAAGAAGTTTCTTCTCAAGTTTAAGTGGAACCTCTTGTGTTCCAGTTTGTACCCATTGCCCCTTGTCCTTTCATTGTTTGCCACTGAGAAGAGCCTGGCTCCATCCTCGTGACACTCCCCCTTTATATATTTATATACACTAATAAGGTCACCCCTCAATCTCCTCTTCTCCAAACTATAGAGACCCAGCTCCCTCAGTCTTTCCTCATAAGGGAGATGCTCCACTCCCTTAATCATCTTAGTTGCCCTGTGCTGGACTCTCTCCAGCAGGTCCCTGTCCTTCTTAAACTGAGGGGCCCAGTTCACTGAGATATCTCAGTGTTGAAGCAGCCTTCGTGCACCCTCCTGCTCTTTTCTCAGTATGAGGGGCTGGATGGGTTCCTCAGCACCTTGCTCTGCCCAGTGCTGCTGCCTTGCGGTCTGTAACGCCTCTGCTCTCAGCATGGGTCCAGGCAGAGTGTGGGGACCTGAGGAGCACAGGGAGCCTGCAGCTCATGTAGCTCAGGGCACCCCTCTGGTATGCGAGGGGATGCTGAGCTGGCTGCGTGGCAGAGAGGGGTCTGGCAGGGGCTGCTGTGAGTAGGGGGCATTAAGCAGACATTCAGGGTGTCTGTCACCACATCTGAACCCGTTTCTCTTTCCTCCAGGCTTGCAGAGATGGAAAGCCAGAACTGTTCCTTCTTCAGTGACAGCCTGTCCCCTGACGATAGCCTGTGAGTTCTGCCTCCTTGCCCTCCTGCGGAATCAGGGCTCCTGTGGCACCATCCCTGCCTAGCCAGGGCACTGAGATGCTTTCCTTCCCAGCTCCTTTGAGCCTGAGGTCCTTGGCTAACAAAAGGCCACTTGTGGTAGCAGGCTGTCCTTCCCCATAAGCACACAAATCCTATGGGACTGGTGTTTGTCACTCAGGTGTTTCTCCCTCTGATGTAACAGGGACGAGGACCAGTACCTGCTGCGCCATTCCAGCCCCATCACTGACAGAGAGCCCGGGGGCAGCCAGCCCGTGCCAGGAAGCCTCAACATGGATGAGAAGGGAGAGCTGGAGCGAATCCTGGCCCACTTGGAGGATGAGAACAGGTAGGTGCAGAAAGGGGGGTTATAGCCTAAGGGGAAGGGGCTGGAGGAGCCTGGCAGAGCTCAGAGTGGAGCTGGGGATAGCTGCTGGGGCTGGAGGAGGGATTGGAGGAGCTGGGTGGGCTGGTTTGGAGCCTGAAACCTTCCCTGGAGCGCTCAGGGTGTGCTCTCCGAGGGAGAGCTGTTCCTGCCCCATGCCGAGAACCTGTTCCCCTCCTGAACCCCAAAGCGGCTGATGTGAGCCCAGGGCACTGCTGCCTCCCTGAGCCCCTCACAAGCAGTGGTGGTGCTGCTCTGGAGCACTTGCAGGGAGGCTCTAGGCAGGGCAGATGGACTCAGGAGGAGGCGATGCTTTCCCTTGCTCTCAGCCTCCTAGGAAGCAGTTGCATGGCTCTTTGTAAGAGGGGCAGAGCCGCAGGAAGGCTGCCCTGTGGTGCAGGGGCAGGGTCCGGGAGCGTGCTGGTCCTCAAGCTTCACAGCAAAGGCTCCAGGGCTGCCTTGTCTCTGAGGAGAGCGGTGATGCTGACGCAGGCTGTCCCGCAGGATCCTCCAGGGAGAGCTGAGGCGTTTGAAGTGGCAGCACGACGAGGCGGTGGAGTCTCCAACCTTGGCTACAAGCTCCCCTGAATCCATGCAAGACCCGTGTAACGATGAGCTCCTGGCGGAGGCACGGATCCTCCGGCAGCACAAGAGCCGCCTGGAGACCCGCATGCAGATCCTGGAGGACCACAACAAGCAGCTGGAGTCCCAGCTGCACCGGCTGAGGGAGCTGCTGCTGCAGGTACTGTCGGAGCAAGGATGCAGGGATGCAGGGAAGCCCATCCCATAACGGAGCTGGCAGAAAGGGATGGTTGGAACTGGGGGGGAGGACATGGACAGAGTTGTGACATTTCCCCTTCTCTCTCCAGCCTCCAGCAGAGTCAGAGGGCAACGGTTCAGCAGCCTCTTCCTTGGCTTCATCTCCGCATCAGTCTGAAGGCAGCCAGGCAAAGGAGAGAGAGCACACTACCCCTGACACTGAAACTGCAGGTGAGGGCTGGGGCTGGGCTCAGCTCCCCCTGGGTTCAGTGCAGCAGGAAGCTGCTTGGGCTCTGCCATCCTGCAGGAATGTTGGCCAGAGCTGGATGCCCACGGAGCTGCTCACCCCCTGCCCTCTTTCCTGCTGCAGATGAGGTGGAAGCCAAAACCCAGGAGGTCAGCGTGTGCCTGGAGGACATCATGGAGAAGCTGCGCAGCGCCTTCCCCAACTCTCGAGGTACCCGAGTGAAATCCCCCTCTCTGGCCTCTTACTGCTCCCTCAGATGAGGTTTTCCCACAGAGCCCTGTCCCGATGCCAGCTTCTCTGTGATGGCCGGTCCCCTGCAGCGCCTAAGGCCAAGAGCTCTGCTGCCACAGTGCTGCTGGGACTGGGGTTGGCCTGGGCACAGAGAGGATGAGGAGGAGTTTTTATACCCGCAAGGAGATGCTGCCAAGAGCATGGACCAAATAGACCCCCTCAATAAGCCACAAGGCAGCCTCTGCCCTGCTCAGGACCCTGTAGGGCTCCCCATGGCATTGAAGGACAGACCTGCCAGCATCGAGTCTGCAGTGACCACCTTGAGCCACCTCTTTGCTCCATCCCTGTCCAGACCCCTCTCCAGGACACATCGAGGCTGTAGTTACTGGGCGAGATGGAAGCAATGGTGCGAGCTCCCCTTGCTGCTCATGGACACTGCACAGCAGGGACAGGGACTGGGGGATATGCATGGATGGCACTTAGGTTACCCAGTGGGTCTTGGTGTTGGTTTTACTGCTGTCCCTCTGTGCTCCATCCCAGGAGCAGCACTTGGTCCTGCACCCAAGCTGCCCATGCGTGTGCTGAGGGAGGCATTGCTTGGTGCCAGCACTAACACAGCGGGGAGCTTCCCTCTCTGCCCAACCCCTGGCCTGCTTTCTGCCATCCCTGAGCCTGATCCTCCTTGGCTCTGCAGCAGCCCGGTTCTAACCATGTGGATCCAGCTCTTCTTGTCCTGACCTCTGTGTTTCTCTTCCAGGTATGACCTCCCTTATCTAACACCTCCTGTGAGCCAGAGGCTTTTCCTAACCAGCTACCTGGCTGCTTTCCTCCCCTTCCCCTCCCTGCCATGCTCCTTGTGCTGCAGCAGACCTCGCACAGACTCCCTGTGAGCCACTTGTGCAGGATACTTGCCAGTCCCAGAAGATCTCAGGGGAACACAGGCCAGGCAGGAGCAGCACTGTGGGCTCCCAGGAGGCTGGCTTGGTCACAGCCACAGAGCCCAGGCCTGGGTAGGAAGGGTCAGAAGGAAGAACTGAAGCAGCAGAAGCTGCCTGTCTCCCCTGGCACTTGCAGGCTGCTGCCTTTCCCCGCAGCCCTCGGGGGATGCAGAGCTCAGCATCCCACTGCTCTTCAGCTCTGCTCCGGGTTTATGGGCACCAAAACCCTCCTGGAGGCACCCAGGTCTTACAAGAGCTCTCTCTAACAGCATCCAGCTGCCAGCCTTATGGATTGAACTCTCTGTGCCAGGCAGGGCTCCCCACGTACTGCCTGGTGGGGAGAGGCTGGGAGGTTTATGGAGTAGGGATGAGTCCATGTGAGAGCTTCAGCCCAGCTAGTAGCCTTATCTTGAGATGGTCTTTATAACAGAGCCTTATCATCTAATTTGCATATATTTCTGTATGTTATATATATATATTCTGTACTTAACTACTCTCATGGACTCACTCCATTAAATTCTAATACTGTCAGTGCAGCTGCCCTTCACTTTCAGTCCAGCCCAGCCTCTGCTCCTGCGGGGACCAGCACCTTCCCTATTGCTGCCTTGGAGCAGGGCTGCTGCGAGGGGAGCTCAGTGCAGGGCTGGGCCAGCAGCAGGTACCCAGTCCTGCCTGGTTTGCTGGGGAGCTGTGCCTTTGCTGTGGCACAGAGAGCGTGTCCTGCCCGGACCTGGCTCCATCCCTGGGAAGCCTTGGCTCCTGCAGCCAACTGTGCTTCAGGAAGGGGCTTCTCCAGGACATGGAGCTGTGCTGCAGGAGCAGTGCAGGCAGGCAGCAGGACAGGCAGGGCACTTCCTTGCCACCCCAAAGCAGCTGCCCTGCTGCTGTCCTTCAGTTTGAGCTGGGGAGGCACTCGGAACCAGGCAGCAGGGAGGAGGCTGCCCTGCAATGGGTGGCAGCACGGTGATGCTGCTGGTCCCAAAGGCTCCCTCAGGCTGGCTGTCTCTTGCTGTGTTATGTCGAGGAAGAGGTAGAGGCAGGTGCTGAGGGGTGCTCAGAGTGGGGCTGAGGTGGCCCTGATGCTCTGGGGACACAGTGATGGGATGCCTGAGCCCTCAGGATAGGGCAGGGCAAGGCAGGTGCTGGTGTGAAGCATCCTGCCCAAAGCAGGGCTTGCTGCGAGGAGAGGGATGGGGCTGTTGTAGCAGACTGGGGTGGGATGCGGTGTGAGCTGTTTGGGAGGTTTGGACCAAGGCAGTGCTGGCAGAGGTGTGAGGCGGTGCCCACAGTGGGGATTGGGCAGTGGGAGCCCTATGGCCTGTTTTTTGGGGTGTTGTGCTGCAGTGTCCACTGGCAGCAGTGCAAGTAGCTGTCCCTGCTGTCCCCTATCACAGGCAGACAGGCAGCATTGCAGTGGTGGCATTGATGCTAGGCTGGCTGTAAGCATGCTGTGTTTGGCTGCAGTGAAAGAGCATATTCCAGCCTGCTAGACCTGGCTGGGTCTCCTGTTATCCCAATGGCAGGACTGGGGGATATGGAAAGGAGCAAGGTTTTGGCCTGAGGATGAGGTCAGGAGTACCCAGCCAGAGGGGAGCTGAAGGAAGGAAAAGGCAGGATGAGGGCAGAGCAGCTGGCCCTGGTGCCAGGTACTGGGTACCATAGGGCTGTGTCTGGGAGGTGGGATGCGGCAGGGAGGGGAGCAGGCTGGCTAACGCTCTGGTAACCGCGGTGCTGCTGTCCTCTCTGCTTCCTGCACCTCTGCTCTGGAAGGAGAATAAATTTGTACTCATACTGAGACCCTGATCAGCGCTCTGGCCTCTTCTATCCATGCACTGCTCCTGCAGGGCTGCTGGGATGCAGATGTCCCTGTGTCCACACCATCTGAAGTAGAGCAGGAGCCGTGGGCTCCCCGGACACAGATGTGTCCCCCAGCCACCATCTTCCTTCATCCCCTTCCAGTGAGATCTGCCCAGGGCCCTGTGGCAGCCTGGGACAGGGGCTGTGTGGGGACAGTCCTTCCTCACCTGGGAATATGTCCTGTGGGAAGCCCTTCAGCCCCAGGAAGGATGGAGGCAGCAGAGGGATGCAGGACAGGCAGCAGAGGGATGCTGCGAGGGCAGTCCTCTCCCTCCGTGTTTTCTCCTTGGTTTCCAGGGCCCAGAGGTGTCCAGGTGCTTTTGCCCCGTGTTCCCTGTGTCTCCATGGCACACTGAGGGCTCAGCAGGCTCATAGCCCAGCACACAGCTGGGGACTCCCTGCCCCACAGGGTGCAGCCCAGCCTGAGATGCTGCTATACAGAGCCTGGCCAGGACTGACCCTTGCAGGGCTGGACCTGCTCTCATCCCACCTGGAAGGGCTGGGGGTGCTGTGCCAAGGCCTGACCCGATGCTACTGCATGGGGACAGCTCTCACCAAGGAGGCTTTCTGGAGCTTCAATGGGGGTGAACCGCAGCCTCTGTGCAGGGTGGCACAAACTGCCCCATCCGTGTGCCGCGGGCTCCGGGGCAAGGCAGGAGGTGATCGGGGAAGCGGGTCCCATCCAGGAACAGATCCAGCCCGTGGTGCCAGGGAAGAGCCTTTATTTCCGCGCTCGCTGCGCGGTGCTGGAGCCGGCGAGCCGGGGCAGGACAGCTCTGTTCCCGTCTCACTGCCGCAGCCCTGGGGCTTCCCTCTCAGTGTACAGCAGCCCCTCCGCCTGTGCTGTGCCCTCGCCCCGGGCTGGCCCCGAGCTCTCTGCTCTCGCTGCAGGGCCCTGGGGGTGCATCCCCCCCTTCCCTGGCTGCTGTGGGGCACGGGGGTACCCCTGCGCCTCCATCCAGCCCATCCCCTGCCCCTGCGGGCCCAGCCTGGAGCCCTGCCCCCGGGGGGCCGCCACCTTCCCCCTTGGCAGTGCCTGCTGGCTGCTCCCCGCTGCTCCCCTCTGCCGGCACCTCCCCGAGTGCTTCACCCAGCTCCGGGGCTCTGCCTGGCCCAGCCCTGGCCATGGCCCCTGTGCCAGCATCCCCTGCCCCGCCAGCTCCCTGCTCCGGCCCCTGCCCGAACCCTGCTGCCTCTGGCCCTCGCTCTGCCCCGCAGTGCCCTGCAGACAGCGTGTGCAGCTCTGCTTGCGGGCTCGCTTCCTCTGGGTCCTCCTCTACCTTCTCGTTTTCTTCCTCTCTGTTCTCTTTTACTTCCTCCTCCATCTTCTCCCCTTTTCCCTCCTCTTCTTCCTCTTTCCCCTCCTCCTTTTTCTCTGCTTGTGGAGTCTCTTCCTTTCTGGCCTCCTCTTCCTCTCTGTCCTCTTTTTCTTTCTCCTCAGTCTTCTTCCCTTCCTCTTTCCTCTCCTCTTTCTCTGCTTCTGGGCTCTCTTTGTCCTCCTCTGTCTTCTGTTCCTTTTCTTCCCCTCTGTCCTCTTTTTCTTCTTTCTCCATCTTCTCTCCCTCCTCTTCTTCCTCTTCCCCCTCCTCTTCTTCCTCACCTCCCTCCTCTGCCCCCCTCTCTGCTCCCCAGATTCCTGGCTCTGCCCTAGAGGTGCTCAGATTTTCTTCTTCCCCCCCTCCTGTCCCACCCCTCCCCTCCACCTCTGCAGCCTGCCCCTGGGTCACAGCTCCTGCTGCTGCCCCTTCACCCGCAGCCCTGGGGGTCCCTTGCTCAGCCCCTGGTTGTTCTGCTTCTCCCATCCCTGTGCCCCACTCCCCCTGCCCAGGGGTCTCTGGGACCCCAACCTCACCCTGGGGTGCCCCCTCCCCACTCTCCTGCCCCTCGCCGGCCTGCGGCCCCCGGGGTGGCTGGAAGAGCCCTTGGTAGCGCTTCCGATCCTCCACGTGCTTCTTCCTCATCCTCTCCCCGAGCTGCTTCAGCTCCTTCTTCACAGCAGCGGCCATGGAGGGGTCGAGGTGAGCCACCCGCAGGAAGTCCTCCCGCGCCTCCCGCTCATTCCACACTGCAGCGTGAGCCTTCGCCCGCTTGAAATAGGCCTTGGCGTTGTCTGCCAGGAGAGGAGAGTCCTGCAGCTCAGGGCCACCAGCCACAGGAGCTGGAGCCCATGGGAATGCAGGGGACACGGAGCACGTGGAGCAGGGCTGGGTGCTGTCGGAGGTAGGGGCAGGGTTATTTGTGCCATTGTGGGTAGAGAGAGCAGGGATCACCATGGGAAAGGGGACTCATGGTGGGCGGAGGGATGTGGATGATGTGGGATATGATGGGTTAGAGGTAGAGGATACGGGGTGCCATCACAGGCAGGGAGACCAGGGATGTGGGTTCTGCAGTGGCCATGGGGATCCAGATGATACAGGCACCATCACAAGCAGAGGGATACAGGATGAGCGTTATCACGACTGGGGGATGCAGAGGCCAGAGTCCCTGGGGCTGGGTGCACAGCAGGGTGGGATGCAGGGCACAGGTACCTTTGTGTTTCTGGAGGAGCTCTGTTGTGTGCTCCAGCACCTCGTAGTACTCGCCCAGCTCCAGCTGGCACTGGCAGTAGTTGAGCACCAGCGGTGTGACCAGCCTCTCCAGCTTCAGCCAGCCTTCCTCCCATGGCTTCTCCTGCCCCGGGGAGCCACAGTCGGTGTTTCACGGCTGTGGCCATCCCCTCCTCAGCACGCAGGGGAGCGCTTTGCTGAGGAAACCAAGCAGGGAGGACAGGAGGTGCCTGGGTCCTGCTCACCTTGGCCTGCAGGTTCCTCAGGCAGATGACAGCCTCCTGGTACTTGGCTGCTGCCTGCGCGAACTCCTTGCGGAGCACGAGGCGGTTGCCCTCGCTGTGCAGCACGGGCACCGCCGCCAGCTTCTCCTCCTTGCTCATGGCCCACGTGTCACGTTTGTACGCCGAGGGCTCCTCTACCTGCACAGGCAGCGGGAGCTGAGCTGCTGCCCTGGCCATCCCCCCCATCCCCACATCCCCCTTACCCGGAACAGCTCCATGATGAAGATGAGGGGCTGCGGCGTCCGCTGCAGTTCATCCAGGTCATCGTAGCCCGTGCTATGGTAGTCAAACATGTTGCCCATGCCACAGCGGTGCTTCTGCCCTTCCAGGGGGTCCCGGCCCTCTGCGATCCTCCGCATGCCCCTGGAGACCAGGGCATACATGCCTGTGTGCTGCAAGGAGGGGGAGCACCCTGCTCAGCCGCGTGGGACTTGCCTGCACCCCTTCCCCTGTGGGTACCCCACTGGTGCAATGGTGACACCTGAGTGCCCTGTGTTTGCACCAGGCAAGGCTGGGGTATCTCTGGGTACGTGGTTTTGTGCCCTGACCCTGCAGAAAGGAAGGGGGTAGGTGCCTATGGGCCCCTCACTCACAATGGCATCGCACCAGAACTCAGCCACTTCCCCAGTTCTCATGGAGCTGAGCAGCGTCTCCCAGATCTCCAGCTTGAACATCTTGCCCACGATGATCTCCATGGGGATGCCAGCTTCCCGGCTGTCATCGATGACTGTCCGCTCAAAGTCATCCTTCAGTGTCTGGAAGTGGAAGGTGATCTGCCCCGGAGAAAGTTCAGTGTTGAGCAGTGAGAGACCTCCAGCTCCTCACCAGCCCCAAATCCCTCTGCCATGGGGCCAGGATCCAGGCCCAAGCCTGCTCCCAGCAATGTACTGGGTTGAGTGGCAGCTCTCCATCTACAGCAGGAGATTGTGCCTCCTTCCCTCTCGTGCCTCTTGCGACAGCAAGCAGATGGTGGACTGTCTAAACACCCATCAGTGATGTATCTTGCTGTTCTCTTTGGATCCCACTTTATAATCCAGAATGTGCCCACAGGATACACCAGGAGCTGGCAGAACCCACACTACTCTGCCCATGCCCATGGGCTGGGGAATATCAGCGACCCCCAACAGCTCCCCACTGGCACCCCTGTAGCTGCCTGTGCCCAAAACAGCCCTTCCTGCACCTCCCCCTTGAGAGAGATGTCCTGAAGATGGGATCTCCCCATACCACAGACCCAAACATGGCTTTTGAGCAAGGGATCTAACCGTAATGGGCAGGGATGGTGGTGTTGGGCCCACTCCCCTCTCCTAGGGCTTTGGCGTAACAACCAAGGCAACTTACCTTGCTCCCATCCTGCAGCTTGGGCAGCTCCCCTTGGCCTCCATGCAGAATCTTCTTCCTGACCCCTTCCACATTCAGCAGGTAGGTTTCCTCCATGGCTGCAGGAGCAGGTCACAGGCACACGGCCACGCTCAGGCCCTTCCTGAGCTCCACGGCTGCCTCAGGCTCTCTCCCTTTCCTGACTATGTGCACACACATGTCATCTCCCAGGGCTGCTGCTGGCCTTCCCACCTCTGTGCTGGGGCAGAGCTTGCAAACCTTCTCCCCTTCCCTTGCGCTTTGGGTTGACAGAGGGGTGTCCTACCGTGGCACACCTTCGGTGCCTTCTGTTGCATTCTGGAACTGCCTTTCTAATCCTCTTCCCACCCTGCCAGGTTAATCTGGGATTTGCCTGCCCAGTCTGTGAGGAATTAAAGAAACTCCCTTATCAGGAGGGCTTCGGTCCTTCTGCAGCCTGACAGCTCACAGGGCTCCCTTCCCCAGGCTTCCTTTCCCCAGCCCCAGAAGGAGCACTTCAGCAAAGGGGCCCAGAGCTGCTGTGCATGCTCAGAGGCAGTCACAGGCTCTGTGCTCCGGAGTCTGTGCCCTGGAGACCACAGAGGAGCAGACAAGGGTTGGAAACAGTCCTTTATTGAGTCTGATTTGCAGGCACAAGTATTCCTCACACACAAGAACAAGTTCCTTTCTGGCCACAGAGCATCAAGATGCAGAACAGGGGAAGCCCCAGGGGGAACTCTGGGGAAATGGTGCTGAGTATTTCCAGTAAATCCCGTATTCTGGCTGCTCTCACAGGCATAGTTCAATTCTTTAGCTCCACAAACCAAGCCTAGAAAAACACATGTGAGCCCAGCACTGGCCATGCCCAGCAGCAGAGGTGTGTGACTAGAGCACAGGCTTCAGCGTGGCACTTCCAGCTCTGCTCGCAGGTACAAAGACCCCGGCCTGCTCCTCACTTCTCCATGAGGGACTCCAGCTGCTCCTGCAGGGATGTCATCTGGGAAGAGAGAGTGAAGCATTGCAATATGGCACGGCAGGGACTCCTGGCAGCTCCAGCCCAAGCACTTCTGTTTCTGTGGATCTTCCACCTATGTTGGTGCTGCTTTGCCTGTACACTGCAGGGAGCCATCCCTGGGCACCTCTGGGGCAGAACAGGAACGTGGGAGTGGGAACCTCCTGCCTTGGGACCTGGTTGAAACTCAGCAGAGCTGCTCAGGCAGGAAATGTGCCCAGACCCTACAGCCACTGCCCCTCTTGTACATAGGTGCTAGTGGGTTTCTGTGTCAGGTTTTACCCCAGGTAGCAATCCTGGCAGCCTTGGACTGTTTGTCCACAGTTTTGGGTCACTGCTCCTCCAGAAGGAAGGCTGTAATCAACCCCATCTCCTACACCTCCTTGCGCCCTAGGAAGCTCTTGCAACTACAGATAAGGTACAGGCACAGCTGACCTGGTGTGGTACAAGATTAAGGAAACTTCACCATAGGTCAAGCCTAGAACCACATCATGTCCCAGTTCTTCCCTCTCCGCTGTGGGAGCTTCCTCACCTGCTGCTTCTCTCGCTCCTCCTGCTGCTTGAACTCATCTAGCACGGCCTGGAGACGTGTCTGCAGAGACAAACATGAGCCACCACAGTCACCAGTGTGTCCTCAGCTGAATGGGTGCCAGTACCACGTGTCAAACAGTGCAGCAAGCCCCAGGCTGCACCGACAGCTGTGTGCAATCCCGACCCCTAAAAGTTGATGGGCCCTGATATATTCCAAGGGTGTTAAGAGAGCTGGCTGACATTGCAAGGCTGCTCTCCATGGTCTTTGAGAAGTCGTGAAGATCAGAGGACACCACAGGAGACTGAAGAAGGCAAATGTCACCTCCATCTACAAGAAGGGCTTAAAGGTTTTTTCAGCCTAGAGAAAAGGTGGCTCAGGGGAGACCTTATCACCATGTTTAAATTTAAAAGGTGGCTACAAAGAAGATGGAAACTTCCTTTTTACAAGGAGTCACACAGAAAAGACAAGGGTTAATGGGTACAAGTTACTCCCAGGGACGTTCCAGTTGGGCACAAGGGGAAAATTTTTCCCAATGAGAACAATCAGCCATTGGAACAATCTCCCCAGGGAAGTGGTGGATTCCCCAAAATCGGATACCTTTAAGATTCAGCTGGACAGGGTGCTGGGCATCTTGCATAGACTGCTTTTGCAAGAAAGACTGGATCAGATGATCCTTGGGATCCCTTCCAACCTGGGATTCCATGATTTTTAACCCAGCAAGCCCAGACCCATGCTTTTTCCAGGCCAGCAGCAGAATCAGTCTGCTGGATCCGATGGCAATGCAGTGCTAAGCAGAAGACTTGAACAGCCCCCAGGAGAGCTCTCACCTTGAGGGCCAAGTTCTCCACTTTCATGATGAGATCTTCCTGGCGCTTCCTCCTGTCCTGAGTCTCCTGGAGTTTACTTTTCAGGTTGTCAATCTGCTTCTGGATCCCCATGACTGGAAGAGAGAGTGAGCTCAGACCCACAGCAGCAGCAGAGCTGGGCACTGCAGGATGCCTGGCATCCTGGTGATCCTACTGTGCTCTGCTGTCCACTCACCTATCTGGTTGGAGCCCTCATTCTCCTGTTGCTGCCCGTCAGACTCATTCAGCTTGTCCTGCAGCTGCCTCTCCAAGTCATCCTCAGTGTCCATGATGTTCAGGTCTTCATCGTCATGATGATCCCTCTCATCTTCATCTTCACTGCTGCTGCTGATATCATTAAATATCTCCCGCAGTTCATCATGTTCTAAGGGGAAGGGAAGAGAAAAAGTACAGCTGATGACTTCCTCACACCCTCTGCCTGCCAGGGATCATGTCAGTACTGAGTGCCTCTCTCTACACCCTCTCTCCTTCACTCTGTTTAGGGCTTACCCCAGAGAGAATGGGGCCAACTGATTTACTTAGTGGCTAGAAAGAAAACAACAGCCTTGCCCACTGCACCTGAGGAGCCTTGCTTATGTCCTGACATCCCTGGGGAGGAGATGTCCAGGCTGGTGAGCGAACCATGGTTGTCTACTTCTTTTGTTTCGTCTTCAGCAATGACTTCCCAGCCTGACAGCAGGAACAGATGAGTCAAGGGAAAAAGAGGAACATGAAAAATGCAGTGTGATGGAAGAATGCTAAAAACTGCAGTGGATCATTGCCCCTCCAGCAAGTCTGGCCTTGCAGCTATGGCTATCCAGGACAAACCCCCCCAGCCCCTTTGCTTGATGACTTCTCCTCTGCCGTTACTTATGCTCCTGCTCAGTACAATACTACAGTCCAAGGAAGATCACCATGAAGAAACAATGAGCTCTGAACAAGGCAAAGATGAAGCTCCAAAACTTCAGTGCCTCTTGTACCCCTGTCTTGCAGCCTCTCACACCCATACTAAGCTGAACTCGTCTCCTTTCCAGAACCCCCAGGTCACACATAGTGCTCTGTCCCGCACTTGGGCTTTTTTCTCTCCTAAAAGGATACGGACACTGACAGCTTCAGCATCTGTGCTCAGGAGACGCTTCACCTCTTTTTCCACATCAGGAGACTCTATATACTGGGTCAGAGAGCGGAAAGAGAACAGAAGTTGTTAAATGCCTCGCGCACGCTGATGACGTTGGCCAACTCCAACCCTCCACCTGTGGACAGAGCTGTTTCAAGCTTCTCTTCTCTTATGCTTTCTGCTCAGCCTTTGCTCATCCTCACCCTAGAAGTAATTTATGCACCTCCTGAAGGGAGCCCATCTATTTTGTACAGGGCTCCTTGGTGGGCTGTCTTTTGTACTTGGCTGTACTCTCACTTTTGTACTTGGCTGTGAAATAAGACTTTAGGTGTGTATGCAGAAAGTCTTTGAGGTGCTGTGTCTTGACGGATGGTCAGCTCAGCTCCTTCCCACCTCAGTCAAAAGCAGGTTTAATTTTTCACATTTAAATCAGCCAGGAATCTTAATGCAGTGACATCAAACCTCTCCTGTGCGCTATAAGAATGTCTCGAGTAATTTGTTTCCCAAATGTCATGCGAAATAGCACGAAATAGCTCTCAGGAACTGCAAAGCAGAGAAGAACAAGTCTTCTCAACCTCACAGCGCTGCCTGTCCCCAGCACCTTGCCTGGTTTGTGCATATGCACAGAGACAGTCTCTGAGCTCCATCTGTTGTCACTCCCCCAGCTGAAATGACAGCTATTCTATTTGTAGCATGGCTTGTTGGGGAAGGGAACAGCTTATGCACAGAGAGAAGATTCCAGCTGGGAAAGCAGGAATGAGCGGGGCTTCATTTCCATGCAAGTCTTCCTTCCTTCTCTATGAGCAGGAAGAGATGCACTGTGGCAAGGCAGACACAGGAATGGGGTCCAGCAGTTCTCTGCACAGAGGATTTTCCCCTTAGGAGCATCTTGGGAAACATGGAAGAAGCACCCAAAGAAGTGTTTAAATCTACTACCAATCCTTCACCCTCATCTCGGGCAAGGAAATACGTGAAGCAATGTTTTCTGGGCTCATAGAAAGATACAGCCCTAATGCCTCTGCCTTGGTTACTATATCTGTGTGAGAAGCAGCTCACCTTCTTCTTAGCTGTCTTCCGGAATCGTCTCTTCCGTACATTTTTCAGGGGAAGAGTGACTGTGACAGAGGAAACAGATGGCATGTGTCAGGCAGATGGCCTAATGGGAGAGCTGTGTGCCAACAGGGAGAAGATCCCTTCGGGAACAGAGACAGCACTGAAAAGAGCAGCACCACAGGCGACACGTGGCAGTGGTGAGTGCCCTCAGTGGCTGTGGGGACACTGGGGTGGTGGGATGGAGCTGTTTGTTTGGCACAGCCTCTACTCACTGCCATGGTTCCAGATGAATTTCTTCTCTCTGTCCTTGTCCTTCTTCTTGTTTGCCTTGGGGTCAGTGCTCACAGTTTGCTCTTCCAAAGGGGGGTACAGATCACCATCCACAGTGCAAACAAGCATCTGGAATCCCCGCATAAACACAAAGGGTGCTTACTGTTACACGAGGACAAAAGGATGTGAAAGCTTCTGTGGAAAACTGACTGCCCACTGCATGGGTGAGCCAAAGGGATTCCCAGGTACGGGGTAGGAGAAACACAGTATTCCACACCCAGCTCACTTCATAGCCAAGCACAGCAGCAGTGAAGCTGTTACAAGGACAATCATGTTTCATGCTTTGCAAATGGGATTTCTAAATGAATTTTAAACTGCTAATATTGTGAGAGTACCAAAATTGGCCATGTTATACTGGGTGCCAGCTGCCAAAGCGTACAGGGGTTTTCCTGGAGACAGAAGCAAGGAATTAAGCTGCTGGGACAGACAAGGACAAACCATACCTGGCATATATCTGCTGTCTTATAGAAGGTTTTCTTGTCAATGGTTTTTAAGCTCTCGATGATGCAGGGCAGATCCACCAGCTTGGCTGCCAGCGGCACCCGGTCCACACGGACAATCCCATGGCGCCCATCCGCTGTGGGAAGCCATGGGACAGGTTAGCACTGGCACTGAACAGTTAAACTGAGCAACGTGTTCCTGGGCAGCAAAGACATCAAGGGAAGACACACACAAGTCACACAGCTTCCCCTGTGGACTGTCAGAGGAGTTGGAAGAAGCCCCGATCCTGCTCACTCACCGTGTAGCTCAATGGTAAGCCTGTCCTTCAAGTTGACATTCCCAGACTGTACTGCTCGCCGCACAGTGGAGGCATACTCCTGGGGAAGGTTGGAAAGCATTATGTCAGGGCTGGATGGGCTTCTGAGAATCACCAAAGGTTTCTGCCCAGCTTCACGCACTCCTCCATGCCAACACAGACAACTGCAAGAGCTCCAATGGAGACGGCACCCTCCTCCCGATGCATTATCCCTGTGGCTCTGCTATTCCCAGTGCCCTTCACACCCCAGGCCATGATGCAGCTTTGACAGCAGGGTGAATCCCCTGCATTCAGTGCGATTCCCTGCCGGGGACACGGCTCTGCGGGCGGTTACAGCTCCCACCACCGAGCTCCTGCGGTCTCAGCATGACACAGCCTTGGCTTCAAGCATCCCACCCACCGCACCGAGCGCGCTGACAGCCACAGCCCTGCAGAGCCAGCACCCGCTGTGCGCAGGTTCCCACCCTGATCCTCTGTGTTGTCTTCCCAGCCTCCCGCTTTGTGTCACCCCCTCTTAAGAGGAGCCCATTGAAGACCAGTCCAAAGCAGTGGGAACGGGCTACCCAAAGCCCAGAGCATCCAGCCTGTTGCTCTGTCCCTTGCCCGGTCCGCAGGCCCACCTGCTCACCCTGCAAACGGGCATGAGCCGCACGTAACCGCGATGGTTGCCGCAGACCGAACAGCTCTTACCGGCGGCAGCCGCAGCACGAACTGGCTCTCCAGCTCATGCGGAGCATCGTCCTTGCCCTTACTCATCTCCCCTTCTTCGCCGGGAACACCAAGCCTGAAACCCAGGGTGACGGCAGCCCCGCGACGGGCGGGACCTGCGGCCTGTCCGAGCGCCGGGCCCGCTCGCAGGGCCCGGCCCGGAAGCCAGGCTCGGTGCGCCGGGAACAGCCCTCCCCCGGAACGGAGCCTGTGCCGGAGCACCGGAAGGAGCGGGCGGCGGCGCTGCCATGGGCCCTGAGGCCGAGCGGCCCCGGTTCTACGTGGGGCTGGGCCTGGCGCTGGCCTCCAGCGCCTTCATCGGCGGCAGCTTCATCCTCAAGAAGAAGGGGTTGCTCCGGCTGTGCCGCCGCGGCCGCACCAGGGCAGGTACCGCGGGCGCGGGTGAACGGGGAGCGCAGAACGCACCGGGGCTTGAGCCGACGGCGGAGCCGGACCCCGGCTCACGGTCTCGGCGCTGTCACTGCCGCGGCGCCTCCGCAGGGACAGCGCTGGGCCTTGGCTGCCTCCTCCTTGCTTGGGGGGCTGCTTGGTCCCAAAGGAGGCTTCTTCCACAGGGCAGCGCCCATAGCCACACAGAACGGGACCTTGGAACTGCTCTTTCAGAAGCAAAACCGGGGTAAAAGCTTTGCTTTTAGGGTAAAAATCAGTGCTTGCCCATGGCCAGTGTGAGACAAGGCAGCCTTGTGCTTGCAGCTCAGGTTGATCCCACTTGCTCGCTTCCCCACGGCTGTTCGGGCATGATAAGCCTGTTGGGGAGCTTATAGAATCACAGAACCAGCCAGGTTGGAAAACGTGCTTGAGATCATCAGGTCCAACCTTTACCCCATCACTGACCCATGGCACTGAGGGCCTTGTCTACACGGTGTGTGAATGCTTCCAGGGATGGTGACCCCAGTACTGCTCTGAGCAGCCTGTTCCATACCTGATCACCCTCTCGGTGGAGGAGTTGTTCCTAATCTCCAATAAACCTCCCCTGGCACAGCTTGAGGCTGTTTCTTCTTGTCGTATCGCTCATTACCTGGGAGAAAAGACCAACCCCCAACTCCCTACAGCCTCCTTTCAGGTACTTGTGGATAGTGATGATCTGAGGTTTGTTGTTGCTCTTTCTTACTTAGGACAAGGAGGACATGCGTACCTGCAGGAATGGCTTTGGTGGGCAGGACTGCTCTGCAGTAAGTACCTGCTCTACAGTTGTGAAAGGACACACGAGTGCATTAGTCATGGTTTCCAGTTGCTTTTGTGTTTTATTTATTATGAACATTGCTTGATTTTTATCTGAGGATGCTGTTGATCTAATCATAACTCTGTATATTCTAAATTCTCATGCATTACCAGGTTTCTTTGCTTAAACAGGAGTCGAGGAGCTGGTCTGAGTTGGTTTGAGTGCTTCTGACATGGCCAGCCCAGACAATGTAGTTACAACTGCACATCCAGCACTGTGGGTTTAGTGCTACAGCAGTTTCAGCAGCTCTGGTTTACACTTTTCAACATTATTAATCAAATTTACTTGATTTACCCGTTACAAAGCTGTAAAAACTTGTCCTGGAAGAACAAGAACATGACTTAGAAACATGGGTCAAAAGTCCTTTTAGCTTTGAGAACATGGAGCTGTTTTCCTGTGGTTCCTGCTAATGTGAGCAAAGATCACCATGCATAACCATACAGGAGAACCTGCATCAGGCTTCTGCTTGTTCCTGCTGGTGCTGTGCTTTCCCGGTTGCACAATGTAACCTCAGAGAAACATGGGCTGCTCAGGTGCAAACGGAGGCTCTCCTGACTGCTCTCAAACTGTACTGTGCCACATTGCTCCTCTGATGCTCACCTGGCAGCGTTTCTCTTGCAGTGGGAGTTGGAGAAGCAGCAAATTTTGCTGCCTATGCCTTTGCCCCTGCAACTCTGGTAACTCCACTGGGTGCTCTGAGTGTCCTGGTTAGGTAAGCAGCCTCAGAAACACCCTGACCTCACCTACCAGCCCTTAGTGGTGAAAGCAGTTGCTCTGCTTTCCTCCCTCCCTTCCCTCAGGTAGCCCATCTCTTGGCCTCATTGGTTTGGGATTTGTTTTACTATCTTTCAGTGCAGTTTTGTCTTCCACCTTCCTGAATGAACAGCTGAATGTTCATGGGAAGATCGGCTGCATCCTGAGTATCCTGGGCTCCACAGTGATGGTGATCCATGCTCCGCAGGAAGAAGAGGTTTCCAGCCTGGAGTCAATGGCAGAGAAGCTGAAAGATCCAGGTACTTAAAGGGTCCTATCAATTCAGGCTTGGAAATGACAGGAGAAGGTAGGATACAATTTGGATAGATTGGGAAGGACTGAACCAAAGAGTAACTGAGCTGTTTCTTATCCTGTACATCAGCGGAGGAAACATTCCCCTGTGTCTAGGGTAGCTTGTGGGTTGCCTTCTGTGGTGGGAAAAGACTGGGGTCTCCACACTTTAAATGCGAAAGAAACAGCACAGGGGATGGAAGAAGAAAGCACAGGAGAGGAGCAGAGGAACAGGTAGATGCTGCTGTTCATTAGAGGAAGTGCTCTGGCAGGGCCGTATGCTCCTCCTCTTTATCCCACCACGGCCCACAGAATTCAGTCAGGGCTTCCCAAGCCTTCTGCCACCTTCCTAGACCTCCATCTCTACTTGCTGTTCACTTACATCCATCACCGGTGCTGCTGTTCTCTGGCAGAGATCTTTAATTCTTCTTTCCCTAAGGATTCATTGTATTTGCTGTCTGTGTCCTGGTGAGCACCCTTCTGCTTATCTTTGTGGCCGGCCCCCGTTACGGACAGAGCAACGTCCTGGTTTATGTTTTGGTGTGCTCCGCCATCGGCTCGCTTTCTGTGTCCTGCGTCAAAGGCTTGGGAATTGCCCTGAAAGAACTGTTTTCTGGGAAGCCAGTGCTGAAAGAACCACTGGGCTGGGTGCTCCTTGTGTGCCTGGTGATCTGCATCAGCATCCAGATCAACTACCTGAACAAAGCCTTGGACATCTTCAACACATCTGTGGTCACACCCATTTACTACGTGCTGTTCACCACAGCAGTCATGATGTGCTCTGCCATCCTCTTCAAGGAGTGGCAACACATGGTGCTGGACAACATCATCGGCACCATCAGCGGCTTTCTCACCATCGTGTCTGGCATCTTCCTCCTGCATGCCTTCAGGGACATGCCCTTCACCCCCAGCCTCCTGCCCCTCTTCCTCCAGCAGGGCAGGACAGACCTGTGTGCCTCGTGGAGGAGCGCAGACAGACATCAGTCATGTCCGCACCAGCCTCTTCTGCCCTCAGAGGACAAAGGCTCTCAGAGCACAGAAGAGGAGGAGGAAGGTGAGGGCGTGTGAGGAAGCCTCTGAACTGCTAGCTCTGCTCCCACCACTGAGCAGCTCTGCTGCAAGGTCGAACCTGCTGTCTCAGCTGCTACACCAGCCTCAGGTGTGAGATGGGGGAGCTGCCACTGCCAGGAGGCTCACAGGGACAGCAGCTTCCTGTGGCTACAGACAGGAGCCTTGGGAACTGCCCAGCTCCTGGGATCTGGTGCCTCTTCACTGTTCTTGCATGTGAAGAATCCATCTGTCCTTATGAGGACACAGGCTTCAGCTGCCCAGAGGCCCGCAGCACTAACACAGTGCTAACCCTTACTGAGTGTGGAGACCACACGTGTGGGGAGGCCTCAGAGCCCTTTTTAAAGAACAGATTAACAAACTAATCTAACCTGGTGCTGAAACAGCAGGGAGAGAAGACGGCTGTCTGGCCTGAAAAGATGCCATACCCAGAGTATTCATTCAAGGACTTGTTTTGCTCACTCTGCTAGAATTTATTTACAGATTCACATCCAAGAACAGAGTACAGCCAAAATGGGAAAATTTCCATGGTGCTGCCACTGCTGTGGCTCTTACAGAGGGACCAACTTCTTCATACAGTATCTGCTGTGCAGGTGATGCAGTGCCTGCTGACTGTATTCTATTAAAAACCGTTCAGTTACCGAGTGGCTCATGTTCCATTTGTACCGAGAGCTTTGCCGTGCTGGAAGGCCTGAGGGGTTACAGGGTAGGAAGAACCGTGTCAATGCTGCAGAGAAACTCAAGATAGGGACAGGAGAGGGAATCAACTTTGGGAACAGGAACAGCCTAAGAGTCCTTAGCTATTGAGGTAAGTTTCTTAAAGATAACTAGACAGCCATGTCCTCACTTAATGTGGGTTTCTATCTGCATAGCTCTGCTGACCACATCCTGAACTTGTTCCCAAGCCACACACCATGTCCAGCCATGCATGGCAGATGGACACTTGAAGAACTGCTTTAGCAGGTTCCTGTATAGAGCCCCAAGCCACTGCCAGTGGTCATTCCAGGCTTCCCAGAGCCATGCAGAATGGTAACACTGCTGAAATGCCATGCTGCCTTTCCAGAGCTCAGGTGAGGAGTTTGCTGTTTTTCCAGTTAGAAGCTACTCTGTGCCCTGTGGACAGAGGTCAAGCAGACACAGCCACAGGCCTCCCTCCAGTCACCTCCACAGGTAAAGGTGCATGAGGTTATAAAGTACCTGGTTACTCATTTCCTGCATTTAGTCTAAACAATCTGCTTCTTTACAGGGCAGCAGAAGAGGAAAAGCCACAGCCTCTCCCAGAAACAAGTTTAGATTCATGGGATCAAATTAATTGAGCAACAGGTCCCAATTCAGAACAGACCTTCTAGCCAAAAGATAATTATACCCCCTCCCTACTAATTGTACAATAAGCAGGATCACTAGGAAGGAGGGGGAGTGGCAAGGCCACAGATCCTCAGTGGCCATCTACCTGAACAAAGGAGAATCTCATGTTAGAAATTGACCCAGTTAATATTTATTACGTTGACCAGGGGAAAGCAGTTAATGGAGCGAGTCAGTACTGACAGAGTCGTGCTGCAGTGTGAAAACCTGTCGCTTTGGCCATATGAATGATTTACCTGTGGAAAGTAGTCCCCAGTAGTGATACTGCCTGGGATGATCAGTGCCCAGCAAGCTCTTCTCACTAAGGGTACCTCTCCCAGATTGAGCAGCGATGACACCTACAGGGCTTGTGTCTACCCAGGAGGGTCCGTTTTGTGCAGCACCATTAAGGCAGTGGTCACGGGCTGGCCTCACACAGAGCTGACATTAACATCAGCACTGGGAGCACCCGCAAACGTGAGCATCACCACCCCTCCATTCAGCCGAATGGGTGCCTTCCAAACGCTCCCTGTGGAGCACCAGGGGCCCCGGAGTCCCAGCACAAAGCCGGCTGCTGGCCCACGGAGCCAGGAGCAGCACATTGCCCCGGGGAGCTGCGACTGTGCCTCTGCCCTGAGCTCTCATCTGGCTGCAACTTCCCCGAGCCTGGCACTGAATTCAATCCTAACCCCCAGCGCTGCCGCCGCGGGCTCATGCGGGCAGCGGTGACCAGGAGCCGGCGGGGGGCGGCCGGTGTCCCCCGGGGCGCGGGTCCCGCTCAGTCGGACAGGCTCTCCGAGAAGGCCGACTTGGACTTCTGCGTCTGCTCCAGCCGGTTCAGGATGAACTGGCTCGTGTCGATGAAGCGCTCCACGCAGTTCACGAAGCACGTCTCGGCCCGGCTGTCCAGCTTCGGGCCCGGCTTGTCCATGCACTTCTCCTGCACACAGCGGGGGACCCGTTGGTCCCGGACGTACCGCGACCCGATATCCCCTCCACCTCGGGGCCCTCCTCCAGCCCATCCAGGCCCCCCGACCGGGACTCTTCCCCGTTCCGTTCTCCCCATCCCCACGACCCACCCCGGGGATCACAATGCTCCCATAGCGGCTCCATTTTGTCCCCGTCTCCCTTCTCCCCCTAGGGCCAAGGGTTCCCCCTCCCGCCCCACCACCACCCGCCGCGGCGGTGACCGGAACCGGGCCGCCCGTACCCAGCAGAGCTCGGTCATCTGGTGCACCAGCTGCTGGAACCGCTGCTTCTGCGTCTCCACCTCTATGAAGCGCTGCAGCTGCGGGTCGGCAGCGCCCAGCCCTGCGGCGGACGCGTCCATCCCGATACCGGTGCTACCGGTACCGCCGGGTCCCGCCGCGCCGCGACCTTCACGTGCCGCGCCACGCCGCCGCCACCGCGCGTGCGCCGCGCCCGCCCCTTCCGCGCCAACCGCGCCGCGCCGAGCGCCCCCTGCCGGCTGGGCGGTATCACCGCGGAGCCAGCGTTCTGAACGGTTTATTGAGCAGTCCCGGGACCGGGGACCACGCTTCGGTCCTGGCCTTGGTGAGGGGCCCTCGGGTTCCGTGTCCCGCTGCAGCAGCCCCGTGGTACCAGCCCGCGGTCAGGGCTCCTCGTCCGTGGTGTCCAGGATGCTGGCCAGCAGCGCTGAGAACGTGGGACGCTCCTCCGGCTTCTGCAGGGAGAGGGGAGAGCTGCGGAGCCGGGTCCCGGCACCGCTCGGTGGGCACCGGGCTGGGGGCCGCTTACCTCATGCCAGCAGCTGTACATGATGGCGTAGAGCCGCTCCGAAGCCTGCTGCGGGCGGTAGAGGCGCAGCCCCTGGATGACGTGCTCCGTTGTCTCGCTGTTGTTGAACCTCTCGTAAGGCATCTTCCCCAGGGAGTAAACTTCCCACATCAGGACGCCTGGCACAGGGAACGGCAGGCACGGTTCATGGCGTGGAAGCAGCTGTGGCTGAAGCTGCTCCCGATCTCCGAGTCATTCACGCCCTTACCGAAAGCCCAGACATCGGACTTGCTGCTGAACTTGCTGTACAGGAGCACTTCAGGGGGAGACCACCGCACTGGGAACTTGGACCCCATGGAGCTCGTATACTCGTCATCAAGAACATACCTGCAGAAGGCAAACGGATCAGAGTGTCTGCCTTGCACTCCATAGGTTACTACTGCATGCAACCAACAAAGCCCAAAAGGAGCTAGCAGCTCTCAGAGTGACAACAGGTTGGCCTCCACATGGGTTTCAACAGGCAGAAACAGGGTGACACAAAAGCACAGCCACAAAAAAGGGGATGTGTAGAGAAAGCTGCCTCCAGGAGGCTAGAGGTGGGAGAAAGAAGCAGCAAAGAGAGGGGGGTAAGGGATGGGGGAAATAAGGAAGGGATGGTGGAAAGTGGAGGGGTGGAAGGTTGAGCCAGATAAATGAAGCAGAAAGATGGGGGAAGACAAAGGAAAAACAGAGCTGAAGGACTAAGATGTAGAAGAGAGTGAAGGAGGAGCTGCAGGACCGAGACAGGAAGGTGACACAGACACATCCACCAGACCTGGAAAGGCCAAAATCCGATACTTTCACAATTCCTTGCTCGTTCACCAAGCAGTTGCGAGCAGCCTGTGGGTGGAGAGATGGAGGCAGTCACTCCTACCTGCTCCTGCCTCCAGCATCCTGCTTATCTCCAGAGGGGAAACTTCCCTGGTGGGGCTTTGAACAAAGCAGCACCAGGAGATCAGATTCAGCACTGCAAGCTAGTGATGCCAGCCCACGGCTGACAAACTGCAGGCTCAGCTTTTCATGGGGGTTAAGAGGTGCCTTTCATGTCAGAGCCAGCGATGCTGCTTAACACAAACCCTGCCCTAGCCACAGACTGATTTCCCATCTGCTGGAAAACTATCCAGTGCTGCCCTTTCTGCAATCCCTACTAACTCACTGCAGCGACTTCAGAGCATCCTGCCCATGCTCAGCTGGGCAGGGAAAGCTTAGAGGGATGTGCTGCAGAGCTGCCTCTCCTCATCATGATGAGCTGGACCCTGTGTCCAGGACATGCTGTGGCTGTTGCTCAGTTGGAGATGTGTCCTTCAGCCCCAGGCCTACCAGGTCCCGGTGCAGGAACTGCTTGGATTCCAGGTACTCCATAGCTTCACAGACATCCTTGCACATTTCCAGCAGCTCGGCAGGCTGGAACCGCCGCCGAGGTTCCTTCAGGAAGTTCAGGAGGCAGCCATTGGCCATGTACTCGGTGATGATGAAGATGGGATGCTGTTTGGTGCAGACCCCATAGAGCTGCACGAGCTTCTCATGAGACAGGTTCCTGTGTTGGGGACAAGAACGGCAGTTCTGAGCATCTAGAAGGCCAAGCAGCAAAAGCAGCATCTGTGAATAAAGAGTGTGGGAAGGGAAGTGCTCCTGGCCCAGGTGATGGTGGAAAAGCTCATCGGGAATCGGGACAAAGGCAGTAGGTTCTTGGATGCATTTTGCATCCACGCCACCCAGAGGCGCAGCCGTTCTGGCAAGGCAGGTCCAGCTCTGACCTGCAGGCTGCTCACCACTTACATCATGACTTTGGCTTCGTCGATGAACTCGTCCTCTGACATGGAGCCCTCCCTGATCATCTTGATAGCAACGTTGTACTGGCCTCTCCACTTGCCGTACTTGACCACACCAAACTGCCCCGTCCCCAGTTCCTTCAGGAAGGTCAGATCCTTTGGGTCAATCTCCCACGACCCTGGGGTAGAGAGAACAAGCATAATGTGGGTGCAGGTGGCCTCCCTCATCTAGCAAGCCCAAGAAGAGCTCACAAGCATTTGCTGCCTGAAAAAGCACCCCCAAAACCCATGAAATCTGAGACTTGTTCCTCCAAGGGATGGGGAGCAAAGTAGTTTATGGCATCTCTTGGTCAGAACTGTCACCAGAGGGCCAGTGAGTGTTGGGAAGTGATTCCTGGGAAGGCTGTGAGCCCTTGTGCCACGGGACAGGCAGGATCCCAGGCTCAGAAAGTCAGTGCTGCACCCAGGGAAGTGTGAGGCCAGCTTACCATAGCCGAGACCTGCTGTGGAAGGAGCACTTCTCTGGTGTTGAGACACGGGGTACTTGAGTCTGGATATGAGCCCTGAGACACAAGAAGGTAAGATCGCCACGCCACACTTACCCAGCAGGGAACACAAGCCTCCTGCCTTCAGTGTGGGAAGGTGGGGGTACTGTTGTGTCAGTAAAAGCACTGCTGGCCCCACTGCGTCCCCAGCACTGACCGGCAGAGTTGTGCTGGTGGTAGGTGATGAGCTCCGGGATGGTGTTGAACACGTGCTTTTCTGCCAGGTAATACTGGTTCTGGGGGGTGCAGCACACAACATAGTGGCGGATCATGCCTTGGGGGTCTCTGGAGAGACAGTATGAGGGGTCAGCAGGCAGAGGGTGAGGGGTGCCTCTGAGGTAGGAACAAGCTGTTCTCAGATCCACTCACACAGAGGACTTGGCATAGACAGACACAGTGTATTTCCCTGTCTTGCTGGTGGAGTCTCGGACAATGAAGCCTCCTTCCTTACCCTAAAAGAGAAAGGGGAGAGCGACAGAGTGGTTATGGGGTGGTGTAATGTAACAGGCAAGACATAAAGTGGGTGAAGTCCTACTTCCAGTCCCTGCCTGAGGTCGTGTTGGGGTACAGATGGTTCCTGGGGCTGTAGGGGTCATGCTCCCCTCCCAGGAGTTTCCCAACTCAAACTTACCTCCTGTTTGAGCAGTTGCTCTGCTTGGCTCCGGGTGATGTTCTTTGAGTACCACCTGGAACAGGGACACGTGTCAGGGAGAGCACCACAACCACTGCTGTCCCCAGCCTGGTCTGAGCCTGGCCCAGGACAGGGATAACTGGGGGCTCTCAAAGGGTAGGGAAGAGGGAGACTGACCCAGCTGGGCTCACAGGCTGTGTGTGTTTAACAGAACTGCATGTAAAAATCCCTGACCATGTGCAGCTTGCACCATCCCTGTGCCCTCTACTCACTCAAAGATCTCCAGGGAATTGCTGGTTTCAGTGACATAGTTGCTGGGGATGTATCCTTCCCTTCTGCAGAAGAAAAGTGATGGTCACACACTGATGGAGGAGGCCACGGGGAAAGCAGGTTCCTGCCCCAGAAGGCTGTGTAGAAACGGGCTCAAAAACCTCGGTGCAAACCCATTCGGGTTCATGCTACCGCAGCCTCCTTCACTGTCCTCATGTGCCACCCCAATGGCAGCCTGCTGACTGTCCTAACCCCCAGGATGCTGAAGAGGCATGTTTGCCACCAGTGCCATGGCACCGCGAGAGGCCACTGCAGTGGGCACTGGGAGCTCTTACCCGTTCTTGTCACGGGCTTTCCACCAGGGCAGGTGGCTTTCCTCCAGGATGAGGTACTCCTCGCCCTTCTGCAGCTGCAGGTCCTGCGCGTTCATGGGCAGGTAGTTGTACAGGGCCACCACCTTCTTCATCTCGCCCGCTGTGCTGGGGGCCGGCTCGGGAGGCAGCGGCTTCATCTGCACGGAGCAAGGGAGAGCACGGACAGGGTGAGGCTGGCAGACACACAGTGCCCAGCAGAGAGCCTCCCCAGGCCTGCTGGGCAGTGGGCTCAGGCCACTCACTGCAGTGGTTGTCTCAGCTCCCCCATGTATCTCCACCAGGACACCAATTCCCCCTCTCCCAGCACTTTTCATTGCAACATTCCCACCTCAGAGATCCATCCTCACAAATGGTGACTCCTCCACCCTATCCTAGGGCTCCTCCATCTTCCCAGCTCCCCCTGGGGAACCTCAGGGGTGAGATCACTTGACTTTCCTCCAGGCTTTTGACTCAAGCTCCTTCTCCCTCAGGGTACCACCCTGACACCCCTCTCCAGAGGATGGAGTGTACATCTCTGAGCAATGCAATGGCTTTTCCCAGTTAGTCTGCTCCTTAAACACCTTGGAGCAAACCCACATGCTGCTGCTGGCCCCTACCTGGTCCTCCTCAGGAGTGGGGGGAAGAGGCTTCTTTGTCTTGCGATGCGACCGCCCAACTTTTAAACCTTCCGAACAGAAAAAGGACTTAAGGTGAGGGAAGATGCTGTGGCCCGAGGACAGGGTGAGGGGAGGGTGCCCCGTGTCTTACTGCCATTCCTGCTCTCCAGGATCTGGCAGCCCATGGCATTCTTGGCTGTCTGGGAGCAGCACAGGTACTGGCCGTCGATCCAGAAGCAGGGGTGGTATTTCTGTACCAGGTCACTGTTGTACCGGATCACTGTGGCAGAGAAGGGATGAGTGCTGTGTCCCCGGCACGCTGCAGAGAGCTCTCTGCTCCCTCAGTGCAGATCATCAGCCCTGTTAAATCATTCCACCCTCTGCTGTGCTGCTGGTACAGAGCCACAAGAGGCCCTGCTGAGGGTTCACTTCAGCTCATTGCTCCTGCAGCCAAAAGGTCCAGCATCCCTGCGGCTGTTGGGGTTTGCGGCTCTTTTGAACCCTTGATCTTCAGAAGTGGGGAGGGAGGCCAGTGCTGTGCCTGGCTTGTCCATGGGGACAGCAGGGCACTGCCACCATCCCTGCCTTGTCCATGGGGACAGCAGGGCACTGCCACCATCCCTGCCTTGTCCATGGGGACAGCAGGGCACTGCCACCATCCCTGCCTTGTCCATGGGGACAGCAGGGCACTGCCACCATCCCTGCCTTGTCCATGGGGACAGCAGGGCACTGCCACCATCCCTGCCTTGTCCATGGGGACAGCAGGGCACTGCCACCTTCCCTGCCTTGTCCATGGGGACAGCAGGGCACTGCCACCATCCCTGCCTTGTCCATGGGGACAGCAGGGCACTGCCACCATCCCTGCCTGCTCAGGCACTTCCCTTGCTGGGATGCTGCTCCTTTGCTAGGAGACAACCAGCTTCCTTGTGCTAGAGGGACAATTGGATGTGCCTGAACACCACAAGAGCACCACAGCAGCTCTGCGGGGATGAGGGCGGGATAAGGGCATCCCAACACCAAAAGACCGGCATTTTCTCTCCCCTTTTCCCTGTGGATTTCCCACTGGCTCCAGCTGCCCCAGCAGCCCTCCTGCTGCAGCAGGGAAGTGGCAGAGAGCTGCTGCCTGCTGGGGAAGAGCTGCAGGGCTCTCGTGAAGTAACCAACTTCCCCGTTATCATCCTGCGCTGCTTCCGCCTGGCTGGGGCAAACTTCCCTGTGTCAGTTCAAGCAGCTAATCACCCACCAGCACAGAGCCACAGAGACACACACGCACCAAGAGGCACACACAGGCAGCTCCAGCACCCGACCATGAGCAGTGAGTCGAGGTGAACCCTCAGCGGGGCCACACGTGGCTGTGTATCAGTAGCGCAGCAGAGGCTGAAACGATTTAACAGGGCTGATCACTGCATTCAGGGAGCAAAGAGAGCTCTCTGCAGTGTGCTGGGGGATCCTGGCCAGCTTTGAGCATCCTGGCAGTGCTGCTGCAATGCTCAGCTCAAGCAGGTAGCACCTCATGCAGCCAAGTGTTAGCTCAGCAAAGCTTGGGGTGGGTTGGGAGAGATGCTCCCTGGCTTCCTGTTCCCAAAGCACTGGGGGCTCTACCCTTGTGTTCCAGGCCAGTACAGCTGTGTGGCCACATCTGCTGCTTCCTTTCACCCTCAATGACTTCTGAGCCTGCTCAAGCTCATTTGGAGCAGGCTTGCGAGAGGGCAAGAAGCCTCAGCTGCGGTGGCTATGGTGGGGCAGGAGTCAGAGGGTGCCAGAGGCAAGTGTCCATGTCCCCAGGCAGGAGCAGCTCAGGGATGTTAAATGTTAAGGAGTGGACGTGGGGCAGGGTCTTAGGAGTGCTGTGGTCACGGGTGAAGTTTCTGATGGCTCTTCTGCAGCCATGGGGCAGCGGAACCACGAGATAACAAACCCCGGAAGCCTGGTGCTCCTAACAGCACACACACAGCTCCTGGCTTGTGTTTGTGTGGGGGGGAGCCGCAGAGCCCCCAGACTCACCGCTCTTCAGCTGATGGATCCAGCGCCTGCGCAGCTCCTCCGTCGGGGAGAAGACGTAGAGGGGCCCTTCGTCATAGACCACCTGCAGGACCACACAGCTCAGCACCCACCGGGGGTCTCCAGGGAGGATGGGGGCAGCCCAGGGGTATGGCAGAGCACAGGCTGTGCTGTGTGCGCTGCCCTGCACGCTGCTCGCAGGACCGTGACAGAGAAGTTCTAAATAAGCCCCTTCCCCTGAGACTTTCCACTTCCTTCTCTGACTTTCAGTGTGTCCAGAAGGGGCAGGCAGCTGGGCTGGGAGCTGAGTGCGCACCCTGCAGACAGCATCCCTCCAGCATGGGCTGTGGGGCCGAAAGAGGCACAATAGAGCTCAGAAGCTGGTTTGCACCTAAGCAGCCCCCTTAAATAGAACTGCCCAAGCTGGGGCTCACAGCGCTCACCTGCCTGCCCCGTGCACCACTGACTGCAGCAGGGTGTCCCCAGATGGGTGAGTGATACCTGACACGGTTTGGCACTAGGTCCCCCTCTGCAGTTAAGAGTGGACCCACAAAGGGTGCAGTGGGGACTCACCTGGAAGGGGTAAGGGAACCGTTCGATGATGGAGATCTGCTCCATGTTGGTGCAATCCTCTCCTTTTCTCTGGAAGAGAGAGGCAGAGACATGCTGGCATCCTGCTGCTCGGCTGCTGGCATCTCCCATGGGACTCACAGCCTTTGGCTTCCCCCTGCCCTGCATCAAGCCAGACCCCTGGTATGGGCTACGGGTGCAGAGCCCCCCATGCCAAGTAGGGCTGTTCCCCATTCCCACCACCCCAGAGCAGGGTCCCTCTCCCTACTTCCCCAGCGAGGGGACACAAGCGGGGCCCCTCCTCACCGGGACCTGCCGCTCAGGGGGAGGGTTGTGCTCAGGCACCACTGTCTCCACACAGGTGATCTTCTCAATGTCCACTGAGCCCTTCTTGCTGCCCCGGCGCTGCAAGGCACAGGCTTGGTTTGAATGATCATCAAGGGAGGCTCAAGCCAACCGCTGTCCCTGTCCAACCACCCCTTGGGCTGGCAAAGGGACAACTGGTGAGCCCTGTGGCTGCCGACTCACCCCCCGCTCAAAGTCGTACTCGTAGTAGGCCAGCTTGCTCTCTGTCAGCAGGAACAGGCGCTTCTTGAAGTTGAGGGGAGATGTCTTCTTCTTCTGCTGCGAGCGCTTCAAGAAGATGCTCTCCAGGATGACACTGGCCATGTCGGCCCTGCCGGCCTCCTCTGCTGTGCTGCCTGCGGTGCTGTGGGCAGCACACCACCAGCACAGTGCTTGCTGCCGGACCTCACTTGGTGCACTGCTTCCACTGACCAAGGGCCAGCCTGGGACCACCACGGCGGGGAATCAGCTGCAGAGGTGTATGGGCAGGTCAGTGTGGGGTGGTTGTGATAGGACCCCTCCCTCTCCTATCCCATCTCCAGCACCAGGCTATGGACCAAGCCACCACCCGGATGGCTTTGGCTTCTGATGGATGCTGGAGGGGCCCTGTGGGTGTGCCGATGGACAGACATAGATAGAGAGGGAGGAGCGCAGAGCAGCAACACCCAAAGGGCTCCCTCCTCCCCTCCAGCATCATGTCTGTATGTTTGTGTGGGCTGCTTCTTCCTGCCATAGCTCAGGCACTTTGTGCAGGGATGTGCTGAACTGCCTCTGTGGAGAGACCAGTCCCTGAAAACTTGTGGGTAGGTCCTGGCCTCAAATAGGTGCTGAGAGCACAGAGTAGCCCTAAAGGCATCCTTCCCCTCTATGTGCATGGAGCCTGCAGGAGAGCAAGAATGATGCTCAACATTCCTCCTCCTCCAGGCTTGAAGGGCTGCCTCCAGCCAGCAACCAGAGCCTTCTCCAGCCCTCCTCAGCAAAGCTCTTCCCTTGAGCCTCTCCAGGGATGGGCCAGGCAGAAAAGGGCTCAGTTCAGAGCACTGCATTCCACTGCTGCCCTGCCTCCAGGGCAGCTGGAACTCTGCCCCTGGCCCATCTCTTGGAGCATCCTGTACCCTTTCATGCTGCACTGTGGCACCCAGATGGTTCCAACACCCCACAGAGCTCTGGGCTTCTCCTCTGAGGGCTGTAGCCAATGCTTCATTCCAGACTGGATCTATCAGGGAGTTCATGAGCTACACGGGGCCACTGCTGAACTGGAGCCGTCCCTCCATGTCTCCTGCCCTGCCCATCTACATGCCCTGCTCCTGCCTCACCTCCACCTTCTTCCTGTTTGCTCCTACAAACACAGCTTTAGAGGGTATCCCAGGAGAAGCGTTTTCCCTCCCTGCTGCCCTCATCTTCTCTGGGGCAGGCTCAGAGGAGGGCCAGAGCAAGGGGTTGAACTCCCCGCTACCCAGCCAGGCAGCACATCCCTTCCGCTCACACAGGAGGCAGGCGCTGGTTTGGCCATGAGAAGGACCAGGTGGGGATCAAGTATGCCAGGACCTGGTCCCCATAGCTGTGCCGCTCTATGGGGCATGCCCAGCCTGGGGGCAGGAGCAGGTGTGTTCCCCCATGCCCTGGCGATGCCCAGACCCTTGCAGCATAGATCCTGCAATCCTGCCTCACTGCAGTGGCTATAGCCAGAAAGACTGGGAACAAGCGGGGTTCCTGCACCTAGCATCCCCTTTCCCTACCCTTGTGGCCCTCATGGGATTTCTGTTTGTTTGGGTGGTTTAAAAAACAAAACAAAGCAAAACCCCCTTAAACAATGAGTTGTTAAAGAGTTCTTTATAAAACACAGCAGCCTCCACTGGCAGATCCAAGCCTGGGGAGAAGGGAACTGGGGTCCCTGCTGAGCACAGGGCGAGTGGCTGGGGTTGCCACTGACAGGGTGGTGGGCAAGACCAGAGCAAGCCCAGAGCAACCCCAGCATCCCCCTGTAGCCCCCTGCCTCAGTTTCCCCAGCTATAAAATGTGGCTGCCATCGTGTGTCCCCCCTGACACAGCCACGGGGGCTGAGCACAGCAGCCTTTGGGCTCCATCCCATCCCATCTGCAGTGCTGGGTGTCCAGAAGCTTTGCCTCGATTCACAGAGCCGGGTCACCACCAGCAGTGCTGGGCAGATGGGGCACATCCTGTGTCCTCTGGACAGTGCTGGCATGGGTATGCCAGGGCTCTTCTGCCCCAGCATGGCACAGCCTCCCTGTCCCTGCCTGTCCCTGGATGTGCTGGGTTCCCTGCAGGACTCACCCTGCAGCCACTGCCGCTGCGTTGTGACAAAGCAGAGGTGGCAAGTGGGTAGCTGGAAGCATGTCCTGTGTGTGTCCCCAGCGCGTGTGACTTCCTGCCGCTGTCACACCCCCGCCAAGCGTGCTCTGACCCCACCGCCAGCTCCCTGCACATGTCCTGCTAAGGAGCCGAGCCTCTTGGCCACCGCTGTTTGAAGGGGGCTGGCATAGCCAGAGCAAGCGGGCAGGGTGACAGCGTGTTTGTGAATGACAAACGCCACAGCCCCCGTGTGCGAGGTGCAGCCTGGAGGGTGACAACAACGAAGAGGAGGGGATCTCCTGCATGGGACAGGCTTGGGAACAAACCCAGAGCTGCGCTCCAGCCGCACAATGCACGGGCAAAGAGGGCTCAAAGGCACTGCCGGCACCACGGTCCCCTGCTCTGCAGCACCGCTGGGTCTCTGGCACTCATCTTCCACCTTGATCCCATGCTCTGCAGCACCACTGGGGTCCATAGCACACATACTGCCCTGATCCCATGCTCTGCAGCACCACTGGGGTCCATAGCACACATAGTACCCTGATCCCATGCTCTGCAGCACCACTGGGGTCCATAGCACACATACTGCCCTGATCCCATGCTCTGCAGCATCACTGGGGTCCATAGCACACATACTGCCCTGATCCCATGCTCTGCAGCATCACTGGGGTCCATAGCACACATACTGCCCTGATCCCATGCCCTGCAGCAACACTGGGGTCCATAGCACACATAGTGCCTGATCCCATGCTCTGCAGCACACTGGGGTCCATAGCACACAGTGCCTTGATCCCATGCTCTGCAGCACACTGGGGTCCATAGCACACATGCCTGATCCCATGCTCTGCAGCACCACTGGGGTCCACAGCACACATACTGCCCTGATCCCATGCCCTGCAGCACCACTGGGGTCCATAGCACACATAGTGCCCTGATCCCATGCTCTGCAGCACCACTGGGGTCCATAGCACACATAGTGCCTTGATCCCATGCTCTGCAGCATCACTGGGGTCCATAGCACACAGTGCCTTGATCCCATGCTCTGCAGCATCACTGGGGTCCATAGCACACATACTGCCCTGATCCCATGCTCTGCAGCACCACTGGGGTCCATAGCACACATACTGCCCTGATCCCATGCTCTGCAGCAGCACTGGGGTCCATAGCACACATACTGCCCTGATCCCATGCTCTGCAGCATCACTGGGGTCCATAGCACACACAGTGCCCTGATCCCATGCTCCACTGCAGCCCCAGAGCTCCCTGCACCCACCACCCTGCTCCGCTGCCCTCTGGCCTCATGGTACCTGTCCCCTCCTTGGCCTGCCCGGAGCCGTCCGGGCTGTGGGACAAGGCTGAGCCTTCCCAGCTCCCCCTCTGCTTCCCAGCATGCGGCCGGTGCCCAGGACAGAGGTGCGAGGCCACAAGCAGGCACCGCACGGCTCCCTCCTCCCCACCCTGGCAGCAGGGCACCGCCACCCTCGTGTTCCAGCCCTGTCCCCACACCGCACACAGCATCCCGGCCCCCCCTCCGCACTCACCCGGCCCTCCCGCCGCCGCTCCGGCCCGCAGCGCTCCCGCCGTGCCCGCTGCCCGCGCCCCCCAGGGTGGCCCGGCGGGGCCGGTCGGGGTGGCAGTGGCGGCGGGGTCGGGTGCGCAGGGAGGAAGGACGGGCCCGGCCAACCCCACCCTTTCAGTTCCCCTTTCCCTGCTCTCTGACTCAAAGGCAGCAGCTGTGTTTCCTCCTGGGGCGGCCCGGGCTGCGGCTGCTGCGCATCGAGGGGACGAGGGGCACCCACATGGCACGGTGCAGCGCCATGTGCCCCTCTCCACGTGCCGCACAGTGTGCGCCGCACAGGGTCACCCCATGTACCCGCAACCCTCCGCACGCCCCCTGCCCCCCTCCGCACCCCAACCCCGCCGCACCCCGCGCCCTCAACCCCCTGCCCCGCTCTCCTCCCGCCGCAAGGCGGCGCCACTCGCGCTCCCTGCGCTCCTCCTCTCTATCGTTCACCACTCCCATCCGCTTCCGCTTTCGCTTCCCAGGCGCTCCTCCTCTTCGGGCTGCTGCCGGCAAGATGGTGAGTGCCGGCCGCAGCGGGCCCGGTTCTATCCGCTGCCATCCGCCACGGAGGCGGCTCGGTCCGCCCGCTCGAGGCGCCCGCCGCTGCGGGGGGTGCTCGGTCTGCGGTTAGGTCGGCTTAGGGCGGCTGGGGAGGTCGTAGGTCCGGGGTGACGGCGCAGGGCCTAACGGAGGGGAGGGGAAGGGCGGCCGAGCTAAGATGCGTTGATGGCGGCGCTGCACGCCCGGAGCCATTCCTGGCCGCGGTGACCGAGTTCCCCCGTCCCCTGCAGGTGAACGTCCCGAAAACCCGCCGGACCTACTGCAAGAAGTGCGGCAAGCACCAGCCGCACAAAGTCACCCAGTACAAGAAGGGGAAGGACTCGCTCTACGCCCAGGGTAGGCCTGGGGGCACTGAGGCTTGAGGGAGGTTGTGTGGGACCCGGGTGGCCACGTCCCACGCCGGGGTGATGGTTGTGGGAGAGGAGGGGATTGCGTCTGATCTGGGGTGCAGCTGCAGACTGAGTTCTGCTAAGGTTTGGTGAGCAGCAGCTCTGCTTTTCGGAGTGTCTTGAGTCGTTGCCTAAAGAGAACCATTTCTCCCTGTAGGAAAAAGACGCTATGATAGGAAGCAGAGCGGCTACGGCGGCCAGACTAAGCCCATCTTCCGCAAGAAGGTGAGTGCTCCTTCTGGCAGGGGGACCAGAAGCGTTCATGGTAATCCACATACCAGTTGAAAGAGGGATGCTGCAGCCTTGTGCTGGTCCTGTGCTCAGGCCATGTTACAGCAGCTCTGCGAATAGTGGTGTCTGGGGAATGTGAGTTCCCCATCCACATCTTCCCTGCTGCTCCTGTTCTGTGTGATGCTGCTGTTTTCAGGAGTGACAACGTAGCATGTGTTTGCATATCAGGTTGTGCAGGGAGCCTTGATGCTGGAGGGGAGCAGGATCGTACTGGGAGTGATGCTTTTAATGAAAGGAGCGTTTTCTTCATTGCTTGCCAGTACAGCAAGGGGAAGGGGAGGCTGCTGCTTGCTCTCCTTGTGGTCTTGAAGTGGCAGTAGTTTCTCATTGAAACTCTGCCGGGTTTGTGAGGCTCTGCACAGTGATGGTGCTGTCAGTGCAAGGGTATGGTAGAAGCAAAGCAGTGCATCTCCTCGGGCACTGCAGGACACAACATGGTTTTCTTGCAGTCTGGCTCCAGGGAAATCCCTGTCATTTAGCCAGTACAAGAGGGCTGCTGTGTTAAGCCTTCCCTGAGCGTTTCAGAGCAGCAATGCATTGTGTTACAGATGAGCTGCAGTAACCTGCTGCTGTCATCCTCTGTCCTTTGCAGTGTGTGGATACCTGGGGCTGTGGTCTTGCCTGATTTCCTTCTGTGCCTCTACTACCTCCTGCCAGGGAGTTGTAGGGGCCGAACGTCTGTGGTATTTGCAGCAGGCAGCAGAACCCAATGGCTGATTTGCTATAGTTTTTGTGTGAACTGTGCAGTTACTTACTAAGCTGCAGTAACCTGCTGCTGTCATCCTCTGTCCTTTGCAGTGTGTGGATACTTGGGCCTGTGGTCTTGCCTGATTTCCTTCTGTGCCTCTACGTACCTCCTGCCAGGGAGTTGTAGGGGCCCAACATCTGTGGTATTTGCAGCAGGCAGCAGAACCCAATGGCTGATTCGCTACAGTTTTTGTGTGAACTGTGCAGTTACTTACTAAGCTGCTTGGCTCATTGCTGGAAAGTCCTGGTGTTGTGCTGGAGATGTTCAGGATGTCTTCCAGCAACAACAAAATGAGACAGCAGTTCTTGAAGTTGATTTTGTGTCAGGAAGTGAGGAGATCTTGGAGAAAATGCTGCTGCAGGAGGTACACAGAGCAGGTGTACTGCTCTCACAGTCTGGCACTGCTGCTATACCCTGCCATCTCCATTCCTGTTTCTTTCTAGTCAGTGTTATATGGGTGATTGGGCGAAGCTGGTAACTGGTGATTACAGCTCCGTGCAGCTGCTACAGCAGCTTTGGGTTCTTTCCTCTGTAGTCTTGGCCTTCATCGGACTTATCAGTAGCTGCAGGTCTGCACTGAGCACATTGTGTTCTGGGGAAAGTCGGTGCTGCTTCCAGATGTGTCTCTGCCTGGAATTCTGCTGAATTCCCTGAGTGCTGTTGGTCTGTTCTCCCACACTGTAAAGTGTGTGTTCCCAGTGTGTTCACTGGCATGGCCTTGGAGCATGGCTGAGCTCTGCAGGAGCCAGCCCTGCCCCACTGAACCAGTGTTCTTTATTGCGAAGATACTGATCCAGTGTAGTCCTGTACTGGTCCTTATGGTGCTGCCTGGAGCCTAACTCTGTTGGTAGTATTTTTATCTGCACTGTGAGAACAAGCTGCTGAATCTTCAGGAGTGCAGATAACATGCTTTTCTTGGCAGCAGCAGTTTGTTTGCTTGTGGACATTTTGTGCATTGATACACTCTGCTCCTCTCGTCCCAGGCTAAGACTACAAAGAAGATTGTGCTGAGGCTGGAGTGTGTGGAGCCCAACTGCAGGTCCAAGAGGATGCTGGCAATTAAGAGGTGCAAGCACTTTGAGCTGGGAGGAGACAAGAAGAGAAAGGTAGGCTTGTGTACCATGGGTGGATGAGGGTGGCAACATTCAGTGGTGAATAAACTTACTCCATCTCTTCATTCTTACAGGGCCAGGTGATCCAGTTCTAAGCTGCTCGTTGTTATGGACCATATTAAAGTATTTGGAAGTGATATGTTTTTGTATTTTCTCTTGGTAGTGGGGTTGGATTCACTACATCATCCCAGCAGGAAGGTATTGCAGGGCTGCTTAGTAAGTGAACAGGTGTTATCCAGAAGCCCCACCAATGGCTGGAATCTCTTGTCTTCCCAAGAGCTGTTTTAAAATGTGTGTAGAGCCTGAGGCTGGGATGGATTTTGCACCAGTGGCTTCTCAGTGTGACCTCTGCCTGCAGCAGGGACTGTATGGCTGCATTGTGTCAGCTTTACTGAGTGTTCTTTGTAGTAAATCATTACAAACCCTACAAGAACCTAGTGACTCAAACAACTGTGCTGTCATCTAAAACCTGGTTTAATTTCAGATACTGAGCTACACTCCTGTATAGTGGAACTAAGAAAAAGCTTGGCCTTTTAAAGGGATATTTTAATCAAAGTGCTTAATCACAGAAGTAAGAACAAATCAATATACCCTGATTGTGCAGTAGTCAGAAGAGGACATACTTGTACATGACAGTTGCATAAGTGATTAAGTATCCATTTCCTGTCTCAGAGGGACCTGTGTTACTGAACCTAAAGGTTACTGCAGCAGTGGAAAGCAAGCACACAGGTACTTCTTGGAGGCAGCTCACATGATAGGATCTCAGTTATATCATGGAGTTGTCATCCAAAGGGAAGTGTCCGTCACTGGTGAAAGACTCCTCGGGTAAGGAGAAACCTCGATCAGCTGAGTCCCAAGACATGATATACTATGATATATACTATGATATACTATACTCACATATATGCTAAGCAGGCAGCTGTTAACAAAGCAGTTGCTAAGAAGTGCAATGATTTAGGCCAGTCCCTGAGTGTTCAGAAGGCAGATGTCCAAGCTCTGAAGGCAGTGCTGGATTTCTCATTCCTGGACTGTGCTCCAGCCTGGCAAAGCAAGAGCAAGGCAGCCAGGGTGTTTCCCTGTTGTCCCTGAAATGCTCAAGGAGCTGTAAGATGCTGCATGTGTCCTCTGCATTTCCTTGGTAGTGGCAGTGGATATGACCAGTTGCTGCCCTGCCGCAGTCCTTAAAGCCCCTTGGGAAAAGAGTTAGGTGGGTGAGATGCCAGAGAAAGGGTAAACAAAAGAAGCAGCACCCCTTTCTCTGTTACCTCCTGGTAATGGAGGGATGGGTATTTGTCACTTTAGGCTGAAGGTTTAAAGTCCATATAGAAGCACCTGAGTAGCAAATGTCTGAGGAGAGAACAAAGGCACCCACCCCACTTCTCTTGACAAGAAGTTTAGAAAGAGCCTGAGGCTTACAAAGAGATTGTCTTTGTGCCTCCTATAGTGCCACTACTTTGAGCAGCACAGTGCCTGTTGGGTTGACCTCCACGCTCAGGGAGGACACCCAGCTGTACACCCCGCAGTCCCTCCTGGCTGGCAGGACCTGCCATATGGAGCATGCTGGGTTGCAGGCCAGCCCATTGCCAAGGAAGGTGAGGGGGAAGGTGAAGTTTCGGGGTCCCCCAATCTCCTGCTGGTTCAGCACTGCCACAGCATAGGCTTGGCCAGATAGGGGCCGCTCCCACAGCTCAAAGTTCTTGTCCTGCCAAGGAGAAAATAAACGTGTCAGGGGAGGCAGAACTGGTGCTCTTCATGCCTGAATAAGAAGGCTTCAGGAATGAGTGGACTCACTTGGCTCCTGCTCCCAAACCCTAGCACTCCCCTGTAACCCAATGTATCCCCTTTATGAAGAGACTGGCTGCCTGCTGTACCTTGGTGATCCGGTATCCCTGCTTGCCCAGCGGATCCTGGTTGATGGCGATCACCTCTTTGTTCTGGAGCAGCCACTTGGCCTCAGGACTAATGTGCCGCAGGTCATTGGACATGAAGAGGGGAGCTGCCATGATAGCCCACATGGCCATTTGAGTCACTGCCTGGTCCCAGCTCAGCCCAAAGTTTCCAATCACCAGCTGTGACAAAAACACAGAAGCACCTGGTAACACTACCTGTCAAGGAGAAACTGGGCCACCAGCACAAGCACTGGTAAATGGCCGGATGCTGAGGGTGGGACCCCTGTTTGGGAACTGGTTAGATAGTCTTGAGTGCCAGGAGCAGGTTGGGAAAGGCAAGGCATGACGACTGGGGCAATTCAGGATGAACCACTGGTAGAAGCAAAGAAGGATCCTCAACTTGCTAGGCAGCATTTCAAAATCTGCTTTTGTATGCAGCTATTCCTAACAATGCAGGGGATTCCCTCTAGTGGGAGACGAGCACTTCAGAGACTTTCCCACTGCCACACTGCTTGCTGAGGCTGCATTACAGAGAGCACTTCCTTGGTGCTATCTGTAGCTGTAGTTCTCTTTCCCTTTCCAGCCAGGGATGCTCTCATCAAGCTCCCGATCCTGGAGCCCTGTCAGAGTCCCTCCCCTCAATGTTTCTCCTTTCCCATCCCTCTCAGCCTACACCCGAGGCAGGTGTTGCTCTACTTGCCATGTCAGGATCGTTCCAGCCCCCTGGCCCAGCTATCTTCACAATGCTGTCCTGGTGAAGTGCTGTCCAGTCCAAGATACTCTTGATGCTGCTCCAGGAATCATAGACATCAAAAAAGTTCCTCCAGTGATTGCAGTACTGTTTGATCTCTGTGTAATTGGGCTGCCAAAACAATGAGTGTGATTAGCCACAGAGCCTGAGTGTACAAGGACAAGACCATACACAAGGCTAGACCGGATCAGGGATAATTTGGGGAAGAACTATGATAACATCTTACATCAGCAACCATCTGGATGATCTAGTTGGTTCCCTAGGATGCCTTATGCCCAGTAATCCCAGGCTGCCATGCTCCAGGCAACACTATAGCCTCTCTTGGGAGAATGGTTGTGGCCATCCAGCTCTGTTAGAAGATTCCTTTGAGCACTCTTTTACTGAGGGTATGATGAGGCCAGTGGGATTAAACTGTGACATCCCAGTAATTACTGTCACTTCTTGGGTTTACACCCTTTGGTGACTAATGCATTAATTAGGAGGGAATGGCACCATCCTGTCATGGTGGCACAGGGGAAGCCAGCTATGGGTTGAGAGTCTGTCATGGATCCTGGGTGGCAGAAATCTGTTGGTAAACAGTGTGGAAAATTCCTGTTGAATAGGCTTTCCTAAAGTCTCTTCCCTGCTCCCCAGAGGTGACAGTATGGCTGAGTCCTTACACTTATTCCTTCCACTGTGTCCTGAAGGAATAACACCAAACTATCTGCTAGCTGTGTCTGCACTACCAGTGTTTTTGTGCTTGGCTCCTTGGACACAAAGCAGATGGATGCTGCTGTGCTCTCTGGCATGCTCCAACTGGGCTGTGCCTTCATGCTGCAGGATCCCATTGAATTCAGCAGAGTAATGACTTGCCTCAGGTATGCTTCAAGGGTCTAAAGGAAAACATGGTTTTCCTACGCTTTACAGTCTTGTTCTCTGTCAGATGGGCAACAAGTTTCTCAGGAGGCTGTTCTGCAGTCTTAATGGTTAATTTCTTCCAGGATAAGCCTTGAAAAACACTCCTTACCTGCTTCATGGGCCTCAGATAGAAAGGCCACTCACAGGAGTACACAATGCTCCTTCCAGTCCTGTTCAGGGCCAGAGACATGCGTCTGTAACCTAAAGGAAGAGGACAGACAGAGGTTACACAATCTCCTCGGTCAAACAGAGGAACTTAATCTAACATTAAAGGTTCAGGTTTCAGTTCAACTCTTGCTAAATCAAGGCTGAACACATTGCAGCAGGAACACCCCAGGGGAGCTTATAGTCTGCAGCCTTCCAAGGACAGGTGAGCTCCTTCACAGCTTTGCTACAGGTCATGTGCAGGCTTACTGCTCTGAGAGTGCTGATCTCTGTACCTCCAGCCATGAGAACAGGCTGGGGTTTTGCTGTATGGCTTTTTAAACTCTAGATACCTGGGAAATACAAGTCCATATCTATCAAGCTGCTGGGTACAGCTGCACTGGGTTAAACTTGCTGAAGTATGTTCTTACGAGCCACTTGCACCATATAGACTGAGCAGGAATGCAAAACCACTCGTTTTTCCTGTCTTTGTCCCCAGACAGCCCTGTTAAGTCCTTTTTAATCAGAATGGAGGGAATGAAAAGTTTGCTCTCCCCCCTGGAACTGCTTCAATACAACTGGATTGTACCTTGGTTACATCTGGTCCAACAAGAGCTTTGAGCCCTGCTGTCATGGTGCTGAGCTGTGCTCCCAGCTGCAGCAGCTGGCATATGCCCTACTAACTGGCTCCTATGGGATTGTTATTTGGGCAGGTTCTCCCTGCTAGGCAGAGCGTGCAGGATTCCTGCTGCCAAGCACCATGATGCTGACTGTGACAGCAGGGAGAGCCCGGTCAGAAGCAAACCCACGTTCTGAGTTGCACAAACCTGCTCCAGTGGCACTGGATTTGCTTGTGCTTGCAGGAAGTCTGTACCAAGCCCCCTCAGCACAGTGAGTTATGGAGCTTTCAGCTGCTAACTTGCCAGCCAGTGTGCAAATAACTTCTGCACTAGGATTCGCACTGCCAGGCTTTCAAATCAAAACCCCATCAGGAGGTTAATGCCAGAATTCCCTTTTTATTTTCTCCTGTTAAAAGCCCTGGTAACTGCCCTCTTTATGGCTGACACACGCTGCTCTTGCTTCAAGCTGTTCTGCACTGGCACGGCCTCAGCAAAGGATTAAGTGTGTGGAACATTCTGAGCTTTCCAGTAAGAGCACCACAGAAGGTCAAAGCCTTTGCTGTGCTTAGAGCTGAGGCAGCATTCTGCACAGAGAGCCCCCAGGAGGGCGAGCAGGTAAAAAACACTAGCGCCAGCAACACTCACTACCTTGGGAACAAAGGCTCATACCTGCTTCTGTAAGCATATTCCTCAAATGAGTACACTCAGGGAAAAGCAACTCCCTGGAGCCCACCCTGGGCCTGGAATCGCTGCTGCTGCCTGCAGAACATTCCCACCCTGTGGTGCACTGCAGCCTTGAGCCCGTGCCTACCTTCTGCCAGCAGCTCCAGCGTGTC